GTACACTGACACTATAGTTTTTGTGACTTATTATACAATTACATTTTTTATGACTTACTATAGTATGATGTTTTTATGACTTAATACACTATGTCGTTTCTATGACTTACTATACTATGTCATTGCTACAACATTTTTATACCTTACTATACTATGTTGTTGCTTTGGCGTTTTTATACCTTATTATAATATGACGTTTTTATGCCTTACTATACTATGATTTTTATGTACCTTATCATACTATGACGTTTTTGACTTACTATACTATGATGTTTTTTTATGGCTTACTATCCTATGACCTTTTGCCTCACCATACTATGACTTTTCTATTAAATACTATACTATGATGTTTTCCATGCCTTACTATGTCATTTTTATACCTTACTATACTAGGACATTTTTATGCCTTATCTACAATGACGTTTTTGTACCTTACCATACATGACATTTTTATACCTTACTATATACTATGACTTTTTTAAGCCTTATCATACTATGACGGTTTTATACCTTACTATACTGACTTTTTTTAAACCTTACCATACTATGATGTTTTTGTTTTTAAAAAATTCAGTTTTTATGCCCTACTATACTGTGACGTTTATGCAATGATGTTTTCATGCCTCACCAAATTATGATGTTTTTGCGCCTTACTATACCATGACGTTTTTATACCTTACTATACCATGACGTTTTCATACCTTATTATACTATGACGTCTTTATTACTTACTATACTGTGACATTTTTATACCTTGCTATACTATGACATTGCTATGACATTTTTATACCTTACTATACTATGACATTTTTTATACCTTACTATACTATGACATTTTTATACCTTGCTATACTATGACATTGCTATGACATTTTTATACCTTACTATACTATGACATTTTTTATACCTTACTATACTATGTCATTTTTATGCCTTACTATACAATGATATTTTTATGCCATACCAAATTATGTTTTTATGCCTTACAATACTGTGACGTTTTTGATTTACTATAGTATGTCGTTTTCATGACTTACTATATACTATGATGTTTTTATGACTTACTGTACTATGTCGTTTCTATGTCATTGCTGCAACATTTTTATACCTTACTATACTGTGACATTTTTTATACCCTACTATACTTTGTCGTTTTTATTACTTACTATACTATGACGTTTTTATGACTTAGTATTAATAGTGGGGCTGAAGGAAATATGGACACTTTAGTTTTTGTGACTTACTATACAATTACGTTTTTTATGACTTACTATAGTATGACGTCTTCGTGCCTTACTATACTATGATGTTTTTATGACATTTTTTATGCCTTACTATACAATTACTTTTTATGCCTTACATACTATTATTATTATTATCACTATTATTATTATAATTGTTACCAACAATGAGCTAATGGACATATGAATTTCCCCTTGGGGTTAAATAATGTATATATCTATCCATCTATCTATCTATGACATTTTTTATGCCTTACTCTACTATGATATTTTTTATACTTTACTATACTATTTCATTTTTATTATTCACTATACTATGTTGTTTTTATGACTTGCTATACTATGACATTGTTCATAAGGTTGTATATGGAAGGTATTGTGCTTTTTTTTACTAAAGCATGAAACTTTCTCCAGTGTTTCTATAAACCATGAAGTTTATTTTCAGATGTGGAGGCAGTCCAGATGTGACCTCTGGGACAGGGCAGAGCCCCTTGGAGTAATGGGTGTGGTCCAGACCAAACTAGCATGCTAGCTTCTGATTAGAATGTTCATGCTATTGTTGTAGCTAGTCATGGGATTCCATAGAACACACAGCAGAAGTTGTCAGTGTTTTTAATAAGCTATAGCTACCTTCACACCTGGAAATGGTGGGGTCTGCAGTCCCCCTGCAAAATTGGTGCTCTAAGCAAAATTATGATACATGGCCACAGCAGCAAATCTGCATATTTATGCAATTTTGGCAAAGATATATATGATTATAATAGAGAAATGGGGCAACAACTGAAAAAATTCAAGGTCAGTGACCTGCCAAGGTCACCAGATACAAATTGCCTCCACGTTTGAAATAAAACCTTGAGGTATGTAGATTATATTCAGAAACTTTCATGCTTAAGTCATAAAATGCACAATTGTTTTGCATACCTGTCCCACTAGTATGTGGGTGAGCTCAGTAACATATTCTGACAGTCTGAACAAGAGCATAGCATTCACAGAGATTATTACCTGACTAAACCCCATACCCAAATTATTATAAAGTGCTTTTTATTAAAAGAACATGCCGGAGATCTTATGCAATTAATTTGATTATTGATCATTCAATTAATTAAGTGGTCAAGGCATTTTCAAGCAAAAACTCCCAACATACATTTAGATGTGAAGATTTGTTGTATTTTTCTGTTACATTAATAATTTAAACAAGACATTTGAAGACATCACCTTAAACTCTGAGAAACTGTGATGGATCATTTTTCAGTATGTGAAATGAATGAGATTAAGATATTCTGCACACTGTATTTGTGTAGGTCAACTAAATCATGTTTTCCTTTAAAGTCAAAGAGTTAAACCAAACCAAAGCCTGTTTTCACTGTTATTTTAAATATTGCAATACCACTCCCCCCCACTAGGTGTACTCCCTCCAACACAGCAAAGAGGACAGGCAGGCCTATCTGAACCACATTGCTGGGGGAGAGATCACTCTGATGCTGCTGGAGGTGCTGTTTGGGGTGCTGGCTCTGGCCTTCCTCTCTGGCTGCTACATCCGCCTGGCCGCTCAGATCCTGGCCACCGTCCTTCCTCTGGTGATCCTGCTCATTGACGGTAACTTGGGCTACTGGCACAACACTCGCAAGGTGGAGTTCTGGAACCAGATGAAGCTGATAGGACACAACGTGGGCATCTTTGGCGCAGCACTGATCCTAGCTACTGACGGCTGAACCCTCGGGCTCCCACAGACAACTTTTTTTGCACTGCGCAGGATGAGATTGTCTGCCTTTACTGTTTGTCACTGCCCGACTTTGTTTTCAAAGCAGCTGTGGTTCAGTGACCTCTCAGGATTCAAACTCTCCAAGCTGAGACAGTTGGATGAAAGCCAAGCTGTTGATTGTCATTGTCTACCAGTTGGTAGCTTTGTTTTTGCAAGAAAAAGAAAAGAAAAACCTGAGCTTCCTTTTTTGCAATTTAATAATTTATTTGGATTCATGTTTACATTTTGTCTCTGTTTTGCTCTGAATCGTGAGTATTGGTACTTTATACCTACAGGCAAAATACCTTTTACTCCAAAAATTATAGTCTTAAAATTGTTTTCCTTAAATGTTTTACAGTATATGGTTTAAATATTTTACACATAAAGGGAAACTTTAACTATATATGTGGTATTGCTTCCGACCATTTGGTAAAAAATAAAAATAAAACACTATATTTGTTCCTTTGCTATTAACTGGTGCATTAACGTCAATGTGTTGGTTTTTATTACATTTAATAAGCACAGCTTTTTAAACTTCTGTGTAAAACACATTTTATACAAAATAATGTGAAATCATTTCATTTACATGATGGTACACAAGATGCTGAAGACTATTGTCCAAGTTTGAGTATTTTCATTATTAAAACAGTTTTATTTCACTGAATAGAACAAACTTTAGTTATACTGTAATAATATTTATTTTGCTATCAATGACCAATCAACTAAAGTGAACAGTGTTGCGAAGGATAAATCAGATAAATGTAACTGATGACTGACTCGAGTTCAGGACAGTGAGCCTGTCAGACTGTTCATGGTGCAGCAGTATGTGTACTGATTAAATAAAAAACGAATGTAACATTTTAACATTTGTTTTACCTTTATCTATTACATGTATCTCAGCATAAAGAAAATGTCCAAGGCAGGCTATTCAAAGTTTGACATAAAAAGTCTGATTATACACATTATTATAAGTACATCTAGCTAAAACTAATGCGGACAAAAACACAAGATACAACAGCGACACAAACATCCTCCAAACACGCCTCTTTAAAACAGGTTCAACAAAAACTGAAACACTGTAAATCCTACTGTAACTAAGGTTGTGTTTATAGTAGGACTGTTGAAGTATTTATTTCTGTTTGCTGTCTGAGGATGGTTACATAAGTTTGGTTTTTGACCATTGTTGTATTAATAAAGTAGCCACATCAGAATTAATGACCAATAATGAGGAAACTATGATGCGACCAATTACGTCACTGGTTACTATTTTGTAACTATTTGTAACTATTATAATATTAAGTGCTGAAAATGTTATAGGTTAACATGCAGTGCGAGGTTCAGCTCTCACACTTTAATAAGGTCAGCACCTAAAAGAAAGATCAGATAATGGAGAACAAAGTGTTCTCCGAATGCCAGAAGGGCGTGGTTAGAGGACACACAGACGTAGCTCAGATACATTTTACAGATGTAGAGAAAGAATTTCAAAAATGTTTGGAGGAATTAATCCACCAATCATTTATACAGACAAATGTCATCTTTCTAAGCGGGAACTCATCCCCGAGAGTCACTTCTGTTTTGCTGTAACATGCAACATGCATATAAAAAGACATGAAAATTCAGAGTCTGACTTTAAGTTTACACAGCCTGTTTTGTAGTGAAGCTGTTTCCACATATTCAGAATAAATGTTTGGGGGCAAGAGAGGAGGATGATCATCATGCTATTGCTTAAAATATACATGTAAATTCAATATAATCTGGATATATTGTTACAAAACTAAATAAGTAGACAATTGTCAATGTTCTTAAAGGGGTATTCTCCACTTTTTCCCTCCTTTTTGATACAAAATGTAGCAGGACATGGAAGAAAGTAAATACAAAAAAAGCTTTAAAAGAGATCCAAATATAGAATGAAACATGATGTGGTGTAGTTGACTACAGGCTATTACATAACAACATCAAATACCAGGCCACACCTCAGTCCCAGAACACCTAGCCATGAATAAAACATATAATTTTTCTTATCTGTCTGACTCTGCATCACTTGCAGTTTGTTTGTTCTTTTGGTTGTGCTCTGCTTTGACCAGGGCACCAATCACAGCGAGCATCACAGTGATGGTTATGACGAGCACTGACGCCGTCTCGGCCACGCACAGCTGGCTGTCCAGTGAGGCCAGGGAGTTCCCGGCTTGCTGAGCAGGAGCGTGGCAGACGATGCCTTTGTAGTCCTCCACATGCAGGTGTCGAACATGCTGGATCTTGCTGAAGACGCGCTGCAGCTCGCAGTCACAGGTCCAGGGGTTAAGGGACAACTGAAGTTCGGTGCTGGTGGTCTGGAGCTGCAGGAAAGTCTTGAACCTGATGCGATCCAGCTGGTTTCCCTGAAGACCCAGCAGAGTGAGTCCGGACAAAGGAGCCAGAGCTTCGGTCTCGATCAGTGAGATGTTGTTGTGGCTGAGCAGCAGCACCTCCAGGCTTTGCTGCCTGTTCAACAGGCCGTCTGTAAGCACATTCAGTCTGTTTGCTTCCAGGCTGAGGAGGCTCAGTCGAGACAAGCTGCTGAAAGCCCGGACATCTATCGCTCGGATGCGGTTGTAACTCAGGTCCAGCTTCCTCAGGTTTTCTAACTCTCCCAGTGAAGCGTGGCCCAGGTGCTCCAGCAGGTTGTGGTCAAGCCGGAGCTCCAGGAGGGAAGACAGACTCTGAGAGAAGTCCTGAGGGATCCAACGCAGCTGGTTAAAACTCAAGTCCAGCCTCTCCAGGAACTGCAGTGATGACAGAGACTGAACGCAGAAAAACAGTCAAATGAAGCACCGGTCAGACCAGCACATTTACAGTAGTGTGTTGAAAACAGTGATGGGATGTAAACAAGTACATTTACTAAAGAACAGTACTTATGGACAGTTTAGAGGTATTACTATTAAATGCTACTTTATCATTCACTACATTTCAGAGGCAAATATTGTACTTTTTACTCTGCTACATTTATTTCACAGAAGAGCAGAAACAATTAAATGATTAGTCAGTTGACAAAAAAAAGGAAAAAAAAGTAGTTTAGTCATTTATGAAACAAAAATTCCAAACAGTTTGCTCATTCTAGATTCTCAGTTGTGATGGTTTACTGCTTTCACTGTGTTACATCATTTTAATTTGAAAATCTTGGGTTTTGGATTGTTGATTGTTGACAAAATAGGAACTATACAGATGTAACTTTGGGCTCTGAGAACATATACAGACATTATTTAAAATGATTTTCTGACATTCTATAGACTAAACACTAAATTTATTTATGGAAAAGATGATCAATATTAATCAATATTGAAAATAGTCATTATTTCACTGCTTTAGTTAGTGGTTACTTTGTATTAACTAAATTACAACTTAAATATAAAATATTGTGGATTTTTATAGATTAAACCACCAGCATACAAACTATTATATATAAGTATAAATCAGTTCCACCTTCACAAACTGCAACATTAAATGCTGCTTAAACATGAATGCACCAGTAATAATAATTGAATAATAATAAAAAAGCATAATGCATAGCTTTGTTTTTAATATTTAGCTCACAATACTTCTGTACTTTCAATGATAATGTATTCTGTGATTGATGCAAATACAAATAGAGTTAAACTAAAGTAAAAGATCTGAATACTTTTACACTGCTGGTCTAAAACAAAAGTATAAACTGTAGAATAAGCGCAATAAAATAAAATGCACATATATTTCGGTACCTGTGGCTGCAGAGTGCGGATGCTGTTGTTGGACATCTGGAGGATCTTGAGTGACCACAGCCCCATGAAGGATTTGGTGTGTACCACTGTCAGCTTGTTCCCACTCAGGTCCAGCAGCCAGGTGCCATGGGGGACACCGACGGGGACCCGGACCAGCCCGCTAGACCTGCAGTCCACCAGGTCTGAGGATTCGTAGCACAGGCAGGGGTTGGGACACAGTTTGAAGCCCAGCGCCGCGTCCAGGAGAAGCAGCAGCAGCAGCAGCAGAGGCAGCGCACCGAGCTCTGTGCAGCGACCGGCGAACATCTTTTTGATTACTTCACAGTCTGCTCACTCCTGCTAAAAGGCATAGTTACCCTCTTTATGCGTCTCCCCCAAAGCAAATACATGCGCATGAACCAGGGGCACCAGTTTGAATGGAGCGATAGTGATGTCATTCCAGTAAATTGTCTGTGAGCAGACATTGAGAATTCCTGATTAGAGAGGGATTATGGGCTTTAACGGATAATCACAAAACATTACCCTATCTGGGGAACAAACCTGGTCTGGTTTGGATCCTTTCCTAAACTAAGGATTTACATCTGATCTTTTATAACATGAACATTTTTTTTTTTTTTTTGCTTTAAAGTAGTTTCTATATCCTGGTATTTCAGCATCACATTACATCAGATTTTTTTCATAACTAGATCTCATTGCTGAGGGAACCAGGTTGTTACCAATTATGGTAAAGATGACACTGGTCTTAATTAGTAGTTACATGATGCAAAAGCCTGTTCAATGTACTATGAGCTGAAAATTTAATCAGAGCATCTTGAGGTCAACATGAATTCAATAGTGTAGGCTTCACCACTCAACACTGTGAAAACCACAGGATGTGTTCCCAAACTGTTATCTGTGCAGCAATGTAGGTCACTGGGTTAAAATAATCACTGCTTTTATATAATTCTAATAATCAATCAATAGATTAAGTCATTTTCAAAGCAAAACTCTCCAACAACAGCCTCTTAAATGTGATTATATGCATGTTTTCTTTTGTCTCTATGAAAATAACCTAAATATTTTGGGGTTTTGAACTGTTACTTGGACAAAACAAGACATTTGAGTATGTCAACTTGTGCTTTGGGAAATTGGGATCAGCATTTACACTATTTTCTTAGATTTTATAGACCAAATATTTCAGATTAGTCAAGAATAAAGTCTGTTAAGTCTGCAGATAACCACATTAATTATCAGTGAACAATCATCTAGCATCAAAACACACAAGCCTACCTGAGATTTAGCTGCAATTCCACCCAGAAAGCACAGAAATCACAGCTTTTCTAGATGTATTTTCCACACAAGTCCAGCTCCATTAGCAGTATTCATTAAACTTTATAAACTAAATGTTTTAATAAGAGGAATTTAAAATCATTTACTGTCAAGTGCCCTTTGTCGCCCAGAGGACAGCAGTAAATGTATCGAGCAGCTTTGCAGAAACCAGAGGCTTAAGACATTTGAATAATTAACTGAAACAGCGATGGCGTCAGTTCTCTGTAATTACATGGCTGCATTGCAATAAGGCCACCGTACAATCCCTGACAAGAAACCTGAGCGTCGCCCATAAAAACCTGATCTGTTCAAAAACGTGGACACGATCCGTCACCCTAAGTTCAGGACGATGGTGATCGTCACGTTTTGAAGCAAACCTCAATGACCCAATCCCAGTCAAACATGTCCATGTTAATATCATCTCAGGGTTGGAACCAATAATGTGTTTGCGTGACCTGTTGGATTAAAACCCATTCTCCGTGAGCCCCTTCAAAAAGTTGTTGAAAATTACAGTATTACAGTCAGAATTTTTGTTACTTTTATTTTAGAAAATGTCCTTTAAAGTGTGGCGTTTCAAGTCACATTTTGTTTAAAATACAGAAAATACAGACAGTAGAACATGGATACAGCAAAAAAAGGAAACAATGACAGAAAATAAAGCTAACAAGCCTTTCTGACTGCTCTAGTTTTCTCTTTTTGAAATGGAACTGAAGGCAAAGGAAGAAGGGCGGAAAAAAGAAAAAGGCTTTGGGGACAGGAGGGGAGGAGTGGGGGCAGAATGAGACAAGTTAGTTAAGGAAACTATGGTTGCTTTATGGTTCATGTTTAAATTATTCTTTATAAAGTCTAATTTAAGATTTAATCTTTCCTCTTTCTTTTTTGTCTTTTTCATTTAATGGTATTTTGATCTTCTGGATCCAGGGCCCTCAGCGCTCCTCCTTGTGGTCTCAGACTGAGGACAAGGAATGCCGACTTAGTCTGGCAGTGGGAACAAAACCACTCGCGTCGCCTTCCCTGGCTGACCCACACTGCCAACTCAAGAAGATAAAGTGGAGTCCTTCTGTGTTTGCTGTGCTTGTGAACGTTGCATGGACTTCTGACTTTCCACGTCTCTAAAATGTTTCTCAACCTGTAGGAGTAAAAACGATAACATTTATGGACAGTTTCAACATCGGTTCTGACAAAAATCTAAACAAGAATCACATGAGCTCCCTATTATACCACCTGGATGTGCTCACTGAACCTCGATGATTCAGATCAGCAGTCAAGGAGCCAATTTGAAGCTCATGTTGTCTTTATACACAGAGCAATACAGGAGGTTAGAAAGTTTTATAAATTGTCTCAAATCAATCACAATAATATATATATATATATATATATATATACACACACATAATACTAAACTGTTATTCTGATTATGTTTATTTGGGTTACTTCACGTAAAAATCAGTAAATTCAAACAGCTGCAACGATTAAGAGTTAGAAAATTAATCGTCAACAATTTTGCTAAAATAATTGTGGGAATTTGATGCTTATATTTGTCATAGATGATAATAAACGTGCCTCTCTAAGAGCTTTCTCCCTGCCTTCCAGCGTGACAGTACATGGTAGACAACATCTTGCACAAACTAGTTGCTTTATTAATTAATTTAATTAATAACTGTATTTCCTTTATTTTGGTTTTCCATCCACACAACACCAATCATTTCTTCACCTGAAAAAAACAAAACTGTTCACCAGAGAGGGCGAATTCAAAAAGCCTGTCTCACACTGAGCCGTTAACGACCCTGTACACTCGCACAGGTGTTTCCCTTTAACTTGACTGATTAGACCTCGTCAGGTGAAGCTGGGTGGAGCTATGCTGGGAATTGTGTGATAACATCACGAAAACGCTTTGTACTAACAGTGTGTATTGTTATGCACCAGCAAGGGCGGAGTAACTCAGTTAAATGGAGTTAGGGTGGCGGGTGGCGGCCGTGAATCTCCATCAGCTGATGGTCAAACAGCAGCAGATGATGTGGTACACTTTTAATTTAACTTCTCTGCTTTTAAGCGTGGGCAGGGAGGCTGTGATACCTTTTCTATTTCTATATTTAGCCACTTGATGCAGTGGCCAAATGCACTTGTAGATACACTTAATAAAATCATCTGCGGACTACTTCATCTGTGATGCAGTTAGTGAAATATAGTAGATACGAAATATACTTACTATTTTGCGTACATGACTTAAAGCGCTTCCCTCTTTGCCTTTGCAGTTCTCAACCTGGTAAGGCGGTGAGATTACGACGTCGTCCATCACAATAATGTTCTTCTCCTGCCATTTACAGTCTTTGATGCTGCAAAGAGAAGTTAAAATCATGTCGTGTAAATGACAAGATGTTTATTTGTGAAGCACATCAATGTAACATGGCTGGAAGGGTTTGACACTGGCTCTTCATCATGCTTGTCTTTACATTTGTGTCTCCATTTCTCAGCTAAATAATTTCCACCACTAGGTTGTGATGGGTGGATGTTCCAAACACAGTGTCCACTCACTATTTCTATGTGAAATGTGTTGGATAGATGAATATGGTCAAACTGCTTAGTTAAGCATTCACGATATTTGTCACGTGGGGTGTGACTGTGTTTGTCATGTGAGGTAACTGTGTAAAAGTGAAACTAGGTCAAACAATAGATAGGTTTCATATTCTATATTAAACATGGTCATTGGGAAAAGGGAACAACAAACAAATTCAATTCAAATTAATTTGAAATTGCTGATTCCAAAATTCTGCCATTTTTTGTCTTGATGTGTTTAATCTTCAACAAAATTTAGAACCTTTGGAAACAAACAGGATTTCACACGAGCCTGCAGGTAGCACAAAAAAACTTGTGATGGCAATTCCCCTACAAGAAATAAGTTGCACCTGTCACACAAAGTAGGAAAACACCCACTCAGGTGTCCAATGGCGGTCTGATACCGGGCTAAAATAGAGTCTGATATGCGAGACTAAAATAAAATACGTCACATAAAGTGACATGAATTTAATTTTAACTTTTTCAAACAGCGACACAGGACATGCAGGAACATAATGAATCATGTTCTGTTTGTCTAAAACATAACCGTTAAAAAGCAAGACAAAAGTTTTCTCTTCTCTACCGTGTATTACTTTCCTTATACATCGGTTAAAACTGGTCTAGAACCAGTTCTTTGCAATGAAAACCTGACAACTGGTTGAGTAACTTTAGGGAGCAGCAGTATTAATACTGTTTGTTAAACTGTGTCCTCAATAAGGTTTTCTAGATGGATTAATGCAGCTCGAAACAAGGCAAGTTAACAGTCTTGTTTCCACAGGAACCACTGGTGCTTTCTCATTACATCCAGCACACAATGAACCCTAAAACCAAAAGTATTTTAATGCAATAAAATATTATGTCCGGGAGAAGGAGCCATGTCTGGACTGTGATTTTGTCTCTGGGAGTGTTGGGATGGGAGGGAAGGTTTGGGACTTAAATAAGCACAATTTGTCACCATCACGTTTGTGGCGAAAGGAATGGGGGGGGGGGATGCATTGTTATTCCCCAACTGGAAAATATTTTCTCAGCTACTTTCACTTTTTAAAAATCAGTAATGAGTTTCTGCTGAGCTGTTTGTTTTGTTTTAAGAGATTTCTCCACAAGTGTTCCATTGAATTTTGTTTCCGTTTTAGTCTGACGTGACACTGGTGCAGTAGCTGAGGTGTAGGACATCCTCAGTGCATATAATTGTTTGACATTACATATTGATGCTTTTGACCCTCACTGTAGAAGACTTTGCTTTGGCTTAGCAACTTCCTGCTTGACCCTACTGACATGATCAGTGACTGAACAACAACATGAAGTTCTTACGTTTTGTGAATAGTCTGGAATAGCTGTTGGCCCTCCAGAGAAACCCCAGCACTGATTGCATAGGCTTGGGACAGCTTGTCCTCCTTTTCTGTCCGTGCTCGATTGGCAAGCTGTGGAGCGATGAACAGAACAAAAGGCAATCTTAACATCAAACATCTCTGAAACCAGGAACTGGAAACTTTCAACTAGGAACAGATTCTTATTTTTTTTAATTGCAAGAACAACAAGTCAGGGCAGTTTGAATCCTCTATTGTGTTGTGGTTAAGGACCCTTGGAATTATTGCTCATAATCTTTGGCTTCATAGGCAACACTCTAAAAATGGACATGATTAACTGATCAATATCAAATCAAAAAGCCCAGGGCGAACTTTGACTCAAAGGGCTTAATTTACACCTACCCATAATATCTTCTACATTACCAATGTAAACGATGCATATATAAAAGATTGAGATTTTTGGTTGTTCAGGGGAAGGATCCTTGGAATTCCATACTTCCAAAATACAATGAGCTTCATCTTGCCCTAATTTGAAGGGTGTATAGTAACCATCAAATCCTTTCCCAGCTTCATTATACCAGAAGCCAATGGCGTTACCCACATTTTTTTGGGGGGCCTTCAGGTGACCCTCATTAAGGAAATACAACATGAGATCTTTGTACTTACCAAATATTTGCATTCACATATTCCTCCGACACTAGCAAATACAGTGCTTCAACTGGGCCCAATGAAAAGGCGTGGCAAGATGTAAATCTAACCTATAGACTTCTGAGTTGACCATCATGCGTTGAGGTCACAAGCCCCAACACTGCTGGCTGTTTGAGAAAAACTGCCTGTTTTTTTTAATTTTTAAAGTTAACAATCATCACCTGAATGCATCATCAGTTTTGTCCTGTGAGGATAGACCGCCTCATTTTGAGGAAAGACTCTGGCTCGACCCCGACCTCTACTCCTTTGAAGGAGCAGTCTTTGTGGGCCACACATTTTGGAAATCCAGACCCTGAATTGAGTCATAGCTCAGACTAAATGATGAGTGTCCAGTTACATGTGTTTAAATTCAACCTCACATTCAGTTGTAGTATCACTCATTGATTTATTTAGGACTTAAATTTAACATTCCCATCACTAATTATCATTAATTGAGGCACAAACCAACACATGTAAAGAACAGAAACAAAGTTGATGGACTCACCTTGCTAACATTCAGTGATGCTAGTGGGGGTGGAGTCTCAGTGCGGTCATTTATTATGTCCACATCAGAAACATAGGCTAAGTTGATCAGGATGACGTCGTTGAGGTTTGGCTTACCGCTGGAGGAAGCACATTCTTTGAAAGAAAAGTCAAGGCACACAACTTCATGACAACGCATCACAAGACAAAGTGACTATTGAAAGCTGACCCCTGACGAACCTGAACACCACTAGTTAGCCTGCACAGAGAGGCCTATGATGCAGAGAACTGTGGCTGACTGACAGTGAAAGGTAGTGCCAGTTACAGCATGCGACTATGAAGGGCAGTGCTGCCACCTCTAGTAAGCATGGATGAATGAATGAACACTTGTTAGAAGTGTTAAATTCTGTAAAGTTTATGCACATATGCACAGCACCAAAGCAAGTGTTCACTTTGTCTGTGATTCTGAATGAATTTCTTTGCTGGAAAGTCCACTAAATCAAATGGCTTTTGGGTAAATTACCCAATGGCAGCCTTCCAAACTTTGCATTCTTCTCAATAAATCCTGGCTTATTTTATGAAGTGCCTAATTAATAAATTAAATTGATCTAAGAGTTCTTGATCTTTAATTGCCCTGGTTTCCTGTTGGATGAAGCCTTTCTTCATTTTCCCATGATAAAAATTCTGAATGAAAAAAAACAAAACAAACAAACAGCTAAATTCTTAACATATAATACAGAAACATATACAAAAACATACAGGAAAATGTTGCTCATCTTATCTCAAAATCATTTTTTTTCTGAAATACTGACAGCCCAGGGCCTCAGGCATTCACCTCACCTGCCCTGTCAGGAACACACACACATGGCGCATCACATTTGTTATTGAGATTTCTGTTGCACAACAGGCTTTCCACATATCTTAAACTAATTTGTGACATATTGATGGAATCAATTCTCCCAACTATTCTTTATTTTTTGATTTAAAAAAAAAAAAAAAAAAAGATACATGGATTTGATCTGCTATGACAATGATGGCATGCCCTTAAAGTTTGACCTAAGTGGTAAAAATCCTCAATGTCATGTGTAGTTTAACGTACAAAATGGTCTTATGTTTGTTTCATTTTCATCAAAATATCATTAACTACATCAGAGAAGGCATCGTATAATAGTGCGTGCTTTTATATTGCATTGGCTTGGTTTATTTAAAACTAAATTTGCCAGTGAAGTTCCTTACATGCCTTCCAAGATTAACTTAACTGTCAAAAGGCTGAACCAAACACCCAGGCCTGTGATGAAAACTGTCAACCCCCCACACTGTATTAACTTCATTCATTCGGTCCCTCACCGCACATCGTGCCCACTTCATCTCAGGATTTAAAATCAGTGCAAGTCATGAGGTTATCCAGCGTGCCACCTTACCGATGTTCATAGTACACACACCCCATGAATGGGTGTAGACATGTTCACCAGCGAGCTAGCCTTAGTTATAATGAACTCATGATGCCTGTGCCACCCGAATCACGTCGAAATGAAACTGATATTTCACTCCACGGTCGCGCTAAAATTACAATATCGCAAGAATGGGATGAGACGTGGGGGAAAGCTCAGTTGATAATCTTGTGAATGCTAATGCCGTTAAATGAGCTAGCAGCGGCGGTGTGTGGCTGACCGAAACTTAGCACGTTAGCCGCGCTAACGGCAGCTCGATTGTAGCGTGGAAGGTTCACGGTGTCCATTCATCCCTAGCTTTTGGAAATAGCCGTTAGCATCTCCAAGTGTTGGCATCACTAACTGTGAGAGGGAAATCTGAGTTCACGAACCACAACGAGAAGCGATGAATGTCAGTTAGCTTGCTAACTAGCAACGGTTTGTGCCTGTGAGAGCACACAGCCATGATGCCTTACAGGATCCGTTGCCAGATAGTGATCCATGTTGAGGTCTGGCAATACAATGAGTGGATTCAAAACACATGCACTTCCTAGCGGATAACGTGAACCATAAAATGACCCGGCAACACCGGTTTGATCGTCAACAGATAATAAATGTATGGGCAGTTACCTCTCAAATTAAAATATTTTAAAACGGTTAAAGATGTGTAACTCAGCTACCACCAATTACGCCTGCGCGGATCACTATTTGACATATTTTCGGTTACCCTACAGGCCCTTGCAGCCAGGCAGGCCAGCTAGCCATCCGCAGCTCGAAACAAACAAAGGATACTCAGAGTTAACATCTTGGACTGGTAGTCAAACGCGACCACTTCTCCTTGCAGACGTTGGCCCAAGCAGGTGAGGCAAGAGACATGGCTCCCGACGCTGAAATACTCCCCCGGTCCAGGAGCCGCCATCTTCTCCGCCAGGAAACCGGAGCGCCTGCCTTACGTAAAACTACGTGATTTCGTATAGTGACGCAACATGGGCGTGTCGAAATACGTCGCGTTGTGGTCATTTACTCAAATATTTGACTTACATTTACAATTTAATCTATTTTTACCTCACATTGTATCATTAAATATTCTACCTAATGCTTTAATTGTCGATTAACGGTGATGTTATTTCATTAATCGAAGTGGGAAGTTGTGGCTTTGTCTCTGCTTCAAACCTATAGACCCGCTCTCCAGTCAGGGTGCTCTCCCTACCGGGGATGTGGCGGTACTGCATGCTTCGCTGCAGCACTCCTCCAAACACAAAACAATCAGGATTGCAGGATTTGATTTTATGCTACACATATAAGTACGTGTATTTGGAGGGGACGAAGGAATGGAGGCGATTTATACCCAAGGCATTTGGATGGCTGAAACTCTCCAACAGAGGACGAGGAGTCAGGAAAAATTCTGGCTAGTTGTCACTCATATTGGAGATCCTAAAGCAGCTTTTCTGCTGCTCTTTCCTTTCACCTATTTCATCAGCAAACGAGCTGGAGTTGCGGTGCTTTGGGTAGCAGCTATATCAGAGTGGTTAAACTTGGTGTTTAAATGGTAAGGCAGCCAAAATGTTTTAAACGTGGCATTAATGTGTAGCTTTTACTTCCCCAAACACTTTACTTCCTATAGCTTATTAGCATGATGCTAGCTAACGTTAAGCTTGAGTCATTGTCACTTAGCTGTTATATCATGTATATATATTCTTTTTTCAATTATTATTGTCAACAATTAAGTTAAACACAATTGTACAATTTATTTTGTTGACGTCGCAGCTTCCTGGACAATAAACGCAGTCCAACCCTATGTACTGTCCGATTAGAAACAGACATCCCCGGAACCATCATGTTTGTAGTGGCATTTTCACATGCATTTCCTCATGGAAAAGGAAAGGAAAGAAAAGGGAAGAGAGTGTTCAGAAAGACAAATGAATAGCTGCCATTACTATTAGCATACAATGGATTGAGTGTGCATTTAACTAGTCTAGAGCAGTTAAAGCATTAAGAAAAATATTAATGATATGGTATTCATAGAGCATGTTTAAGAAAAATCAAATGTCAACCAAAGAGGAATTTAAAATACAGTTAAGTGAAAATATATGGATAAATAAGAGTTACTGACAAAAATAAAGAAATGATATAGTCTTAACTGGAGGAATTCAAAAGCATTTGTGGAAAGTTCTGTCAAAAGATGGGATTTAATGTTCCACATTGAAACATCATGGAATAATGAAATCTTAGGATATAGGATAAATACAATATAGTGATGGGGTTATTATTGAATACAAAAGTCTATAAGAGTCAGAATTTATAGAGTTACTGTAGGTTTCAGAAAGAAGAGATATTTTGTCTTTTCTTAATGCAAGAATATATATGAATAAGTCAGATAAATGTGAAACTTGTAACTAATAAATATAGTATAATAATAATATAATATATAATAAAAAATAAATAAAAAATGTTGATTGTGTGCTGATAGGATGTAAAAAGCTCAATGTAACAGAGTTAAGGCTCCGGTTGTAGAAATATTTTTTTTGAGATATGGGCCAATAATAAACATTCAGAGTAAAATCAATACATTAAGTCATGATACACACTTTGGTACAGTAGGTGGCAGTCGTGTAAGTTCTTGTAAGTTATGTGTTGTAAATGTATTTTCTTCCCAGGATGCTGTTCGGAGAAAGACCATTCTGGTGGATAGGTGAATCACGTCTATTTGTCAACAAGCAGCCCAAAGTTCATCAGTTTTCCTCCACCTGTGAAACCGGACCAGGTGAGAAGTCCTCAAAGAAAAACACAATATGTATCAATCATAGATAGTACACTTACTTAACTGTACAGCCAGAGGTATAAAGCTGGTGTCCGTCTCTCAGGCAGTCCGTCAGGACATGCGATGGTGACAGCAGCAGTGTGGTGGGTTGTGGTGTCCTCACTGGGATCATTTCTGTATTCCCGTACTCACAGGTATGCCCCTTTGAAATAAACATATGCTATTTTGGCTTTGAAAGGGAAGGTAAATATCAGAACTATTGTTTGATGAATCTCTTTCTCCTTGCCTCCAGTGTGGTGTTGTCAGCTGCTCCCTACCTGTTCTATGTGTTGATGCTGGTGGCAGTTGGAATCTCCAGGATCTTCATCCTGGCTCACTTCCCTCACCAGGTTGTTGCTGGCTCCATTACAGGTCTGTAATTCCCGCTGTAGCTTAATATACTCTAAGATGGTATTTTCTGCATACATGCTATGGAAAAATCTTGTGACACGTGAAAAAAAATGTATATTGACTCATGCCTCAAGAACATTCAGTATAATCTTTCATTGCAAATTTGATCCGATTGAATTGCTCTGGTCAGGTTTCATTCTGGGGATTGTCCTGAGCCGCAGAGTACCAGAAGGTCGCCCCCTGCTGTTCTTCTTCAACTTCAGCATTGGTCTGCTGCTCAGTGCTCTGATGCTGCATGCTGGATTACAGCAGCTGGGAATCGACCTCTCCTGGTGAGTCTCTCTACTATATTCATGTATATTAGTGACAAACATCTCTGTCAGATGAAGCTGCCATGACTGGACATATTCTATTCCACAGGTCTATTACTTTGGCTAAGAAATGGTGCAGCCGTTCTGAGTGGATTCGTTTGGATACAGCCCCCTTCTCCTCTCTGACTCGAGATTGTGGGGCCCTTCTTGGTTTGGGGCTGGCCCAGTACTGGAAGCCTGGAGGTTTTTCTCTGCCATGGGCTCCAAGGGCGTTATCTCTGGCTATTTCATCCATGGGACTATACCACGTGAATCGCCTGCCACTCCCGATTCAGCCACAAGGCCTCTTCTACGGCCTCTTCTTTGTCAAATTTGTCATAGTGCCTCAGATTGTCATGGTGCTTGTACCTGGACTGGTTCACCTTTTCACACGAAAAAAGAAGAAGGACTAGACACGGTTTTCTCTCCATGCTACAGGTGTATTTCACACCTCTGAGGACTATAGCTATCTTCTGACAGAATAGTTCCTGTAAACACTTTAAACGTCTATGTAATGTATTCCATTGGTACGGTTGCAGGTAAAGTCTATAGTTAGTCACTCCATATTGCTTTTTTCTCTTAATGTTCAATCAGCAATTGTCTTTTTTTCAGTCAATGACTTAATGTTTTGAGAGTACACAGGCCTTAAATCAGGGGAATGTATCTTATTTTTAATTTCTGCTCATTTGCAGTACGTGTATGTACTGTAATAGTAATAAGTGTTGTAAGTGTTACAGTTGTTTGCAAGAAAAGTGCAGATTTGATGTAGTGTGCATCAAAAATATGACATGACTTGAATTTTTTTGGGGCAAAAATTAGCTGTAGGTCATTTTTACTCACTTTATTTATAAAGTTTTGGTCCCCAGACTTTCATCCCGTTATAGATTAGGTATATCAAATTAAGAAAAAAAAAGTATCGTAATGTAGGTCTGAGGACCAAAACAAAAATAAAATGTGTGAATAGTTGACCCCGGAACTCTTCGTTTTTGTCATAATCACAAGTTTTGATCCTACAAACCTGTCAGTAAGACCTTCTGAGGGCTAAAACCCTTATAGAAATTGTTTCCCAGGAAAGGCTAAAATGTCACCACTTCACATTCTGTGTGTAATTCAGAAGTTTGAAAACTCTGATGTTCATGCTAGGGTCTACGTTCGGGTCAACAGATGTATGATTTTACAGTTACATGGACATTTGACAATAATAATGCAATACCATGCAACAAACCATTAACTGAAACATCTAAACTGCTATAATCAATACTTTTTTGCATTAACAATGGATCAAATCACCACGTGAATGTGTGAGGGGTTGTCAGTTGTGACGAACCCACTGGGAATCATCAGCTGACTCTGCAGTTTCCCCCAGCTCTATGGAACATTTTAGCATCTTTTTTTTTTTTTTTCTTTTTCTTTACAGCCCACAACTTTACCGTTTTGGTTCAGTCTCACCACAATCAACGTCATCGTTTTCAGACGCTGCTGCTGATGGTTTAAAAGCTCCAGGAGCTCACTGTGCATTTTCTGCTCAGAAGGAAACAGCAGACAGAGAAAGTTAGCGACTATAGCCGATGAACATAGTGTAGCATTTAGCAGCTAAAAAGTCAGATATTTCCCTCATTAGTTGGGTAACCAGAAACACGACCGACAGTGAATGCTAATATCGGCCTGTGTCTGCTAGATGTGTAAATAGGCAACTGTTTACTAACAAGCTCACCATATAAAACTTCATAAGGAGATGTCAGTGTTGTGTTCACAGTTTTTTTAGTTGCTGCCAAGTGTACTAAAAAAAACAAACAATGTAAGCTTTATAAATACTTTCTATTTTTGCAAGATCATTGTATTGAATTGCATTATATTGTATAGAAGTTTATTATTGTGTCGACACACTGGTGTTAAATGTGGTTATGTGGCCCAAAATCATCCAAAATAAATAAATTACATATTTATGTTAAATGCACATAATGAGTAAAATAAATAACTGACATGCAGGGCGTGTTTCAGTTGGTAACCATTTATAAATATGTTCTTTTTCCCCCCCGATACATTATGTTTGACTGTACAGATTACAATCAGTTATCATGAGATAAAAACACATTCTTTTTATTGTTTTTAATTAAACTTTTTATCACAGCGATCTGAAAGCTCACATTTACAGACAAGAGAACTCTGCTCAGCAAGCAAATACATTAAAATAAAATAAAAGAACCTTTTCCCTTTTGTCTGGCGAGGTTTAAGGAAAATGATAAGGATAGTTCAGGGATAGCAGTCTCCTTATCTTGATCCGAACACTGTATCACACACCAGAGTCAGGACACTGCTATACATGTTTCTGCTTGAGCTCATGGAAAGAATAGAACATGCATCAGACTATTTACAGCAAACTAATATACACAGACAGCTTGAAACCATACACCCTCAGATATCCTCAACTTAGAAGTCTTGTTTAAATTAAGTATAGTACAGTTTATACCTTCATCTCTGTAAAGATAAGTACGGCAACTCTCAGGTAGCAGGTGAAACTGAGGATGAGCAGGAGGCAGTCAGGAGGAGCTGCTGTCTCTCTTTAGATATTTTATCTTTATTTAGAACCAAAATAAAACGTTACAGACAAATGGTCTGTAACTTTTCGCACATATACAAATAACTTGAATACTCTCATTATTCCACTTTCTCAGTCAAACTCCAAATATGGAGTTTCTGGGTACTGAAATGTCTTTTTTTTTTTTTTCTTTTTTTTTCTTTAAATGCATCTATCTGTTGCAGTAGATTCAACTTCTTTTCATAACATGTGCAGGACCAGCGGATTAGACTGGCTGATTTGGAGTTCGAGGATGTTTTGATGGCTATTTATTATGAATACTTAAATATGGTCGACCTCTTGAAACAGACTTGCTTTACTAACGGACCCGAGCTGGACGGAGTGGAATATCTGAGCCAGTATATACAACTTGTGCTAGAAAGTCTATACATCTTCACCAGTTTAAAAACATTGTTTGCTCTTCATATTGTCATTCATCACTGCTTTGCAAATCATATAATAATAATAATAATAATAATAATAATAATAGTGTCTATGATAGTCTGTTATCACTGGCCAGAGGTCTGACCCATCACACACCCACTTTCTCCAAATTCAACAATCATAACAACACAGTAAGTAAAATACATAAAGTGCACCCTTAGTTAAGAACTTAACAGGCATTTTTAGTGCAGAGGTGGCGGAATAAAAATGCATTATGGGTAAAAAGAAACAGCACAAAAGAAATGCAGGAGAAAGGGAAAACGTCTGTAACAGTGGTCGTGTATGCATTTGCTTGCTTTTAGTCGCTGAGCACTATCCATGTTAACCCATCACTAGCATATGTGCTGAACCTTCTACTCTCTCTTACAGTGTCGTTACGTACTGAGGAGGGACAGAGGCGAACTTTGACACTCGTGATGAAAATCACCCACCACAGGATTTTTTTTTATTCATCATTTGACCAGAGTCATTCAGATAAAGATGATTGAACCATTCTGTGGCCAAAGATTCACACTAGAAACACAGTTACTGCGCTCAAGGCCTATAATTTTTTTTTTTTAATCTAATAAAGCAATCTGTCCTCAAAACAAGATGTATGAGTTATCCAAAAAAATCAAATGAGCTTGTAAAAAACCATAGCAACTCATGCTTTGCTTGTTTATATAAGCAGATGGTTAAACAAGTTTTCAAAGATGTTTAATGACAGGGAGGGGGATGAATATGTCAGTAAAAGTTAGAGGTTTGCAGCCTTGACAGCTGGTTTAACTTCACACTAAGGCATTTCATGAGGTCTGTGACACAGGAATGATACTTAACAGAGATACAGAAAATCATAATTTATGTATTTGAACCTCAGAAGGTTCAATGAGGCGACGTGACTCAAAAATGATTTTAATCAGTGGAAAATGATGCAGTTATAGATGCAGGGAGATGTTGGATTTTCATTTTGACACAATCATTTTAACACCAGTTTAAAGCCTTGGACCATTTAAAGGTGCACACCGGCACAGTCTGGGTAGGATTTGATTTTGTAAGTGTGTTTATTAACTCTGAAACCATTTGTTGCTCAATCGACTGATCATTTCAGTCATTTCAGTCATTTTTCAAGCAGAATAGCAAAAGCTCACCGACTAGTTTCTCCAGCTCGAGGAGTCACTGCTTTGACTGTTTTATATCATTGTAAACTGAATATCTGACTGTTGGTTGACATTTGGAGATGTCGCCTTGGGACTGGGCATATTTTTTTTATCAATACCTGACATTCCACTCCCCCCCCCCAAAAAAAAACAATCGAAAAAAAATAATCAGCAGATTAATGGATAACGAAAATAATCGTTAGTTGCAGCCCTATTTTACATTATTGAGGACGTCCTGCAGCAGAAAAAGCATTCTCTTGCATTACACCACAACAAAATCTTTTTTTTATTTTGACACAAAAGAGGTAATAATGTCATTCAAAGTTGGTCTGTGTCCCTCCTTCCTCACCCTGGTCGGTTCTCCACATCCATATGACTAGCAGTGGGACACAAAGGCAGGGTTAACAGAATACAATTCAAACGCAAACTATGTTTCCTTTTATTTCTATGTACAATATATAACTTAATTATAAATATTGTCATCTTTCTCTAAGTACTGAGTTGTTGAGCCATTTGTATTTTCTGAGCAATGTACAGTATTGAACATATAATATTGTATTACATAGAATAGAGCCTACTAGCAACCTTGGTTAAGAGCACACTTTGAAAGAACAGAAGATGGATACAGAGTCCACAAGTAGAGTCCGATGATTAGTACTTTCACTCTTACAGTCCCACCTGTTGTGTTCACTTGTGGGAACTTTGTGCCACACAATGTTTTGGAAGTGCACTGGTCTTTGATTCAGTGTGAGATCAGAACTTAGGACCCTCCTGTTATCCTACCTGTGCGCAGAATATGATAATGAAATAATCGCTTCACTGTTAGTTATGTTTTTCATATAAGATAATGTCTAATACCCTAAGTGTGTGTGTGTGTGTGTGCCGGCTGTGTGGTTTTCTCTCTGACTGGATCTGTCTCTCGTGAGTTCTTTAAGACAAGTTTGTCCATGTCACATGTACAAAGGTCAGCAGCATGTGCTGTTGAGCTAACTGTTTTTTCTCCTCTTACTCCCACTAACAAGCCCAGTCCCACCAACCAGTCACAGACAGGCCATCACACATTTGACTCCACAAACGGTCTCTTTGGTTTGATAGGGGAGGTGGGGCCTTGGGTGCGGGAGTCACGCGAGAGCTGGCGGTACATGTTGTCCTGGTAGGCCTGCGCCACAGGCAGAGTCCTCGCCACCTTCACATCCGGGTAGGTGGGCACCTGGCTGACCCTCTCCAGGATGTCCCCACTGCCACGGGAGCCGTTGGCCAGCTTGCCCAGTGAAGGGGGCTGGGTCTGGGAGTAGTAGTCCTCCTCCAACAGGTGTCCATTTTGGGCGTTGTTGGTCTTGTTGTAGTAGGCGATATTTCCCAGTGAGGCGGGGGGACTGTAGGTGGAGCCTTGCTGGACCAGCTGGCCGGGCGAGGTGGGGCTAATGGCAGAGTCCATGGACGTCATGGCCCTGGACCGCGAGGGCTGATGCAGGTACTGCTGAGTCCGCGCCGTCTTGTCTATGATGCCCATGAAGGGCGTGTTCCGAGAGCGGGTGGTCTCGCCCTGATACAGCCCCCCGCCGCCCTGCGAGGGAGAGATGGGGGACATGTCATCACAGGTGCGCTCGTATGTGGCCTGCAGGGGGATCTCCATCTGCTGGATGGAAGAGGAAGGCCTGAAACCCGGTGCTAAATTCGAGGTGGATCCAGTTGAGATGTTGTTGCTGGACGGGGAGAATCGAAGGCCTACGCTCTGAGAATGGATGAGAGGCCTGGGGGTGGGCACATGCTGCTTCATCTCAGTAGTATTGGCACTGACGGGGCGCCTCACCATATGGGGAATCTCAGGAGAGCCCAGCTGACAGGGCGGCATGGCGTTGGCGCGCTCCAGCACGTGTTCAGAGACTGGGTAGTAGGCGGCTGACTGGCTGCGGCTGATCTGGGGTGTCTGGCTGTAACGCATGCCCCCCGGGCCCCCGCTGCTGGCGCGGTAGGCAGAGGAGGGGCGCTGGGGTAGCTCATCCTTCAACAGGCCCGACTCCATAACCCCTCCTCGGCCGCCGTGCTGACAGAGGGCCCCAGAACTGAGGCTGGCCTGGACCTGGGGCATGGACCGTCCATCCAGGGAGGGCTGGTACACCAGCCGGCTCTCCACGTCCACTGAACCCCCTTGGTAGCGACCGCCGATGGAGTGGCCCATCTGGCCGCCGTAGCTGCTGTTGCCCATCACATTGCTGGGCTGGTTTGTGCGGACTATCTGGGCTATAGAAGGCTGAAGACGAAGGCCTTGGGCTTGGTGGTGCTGGGAGGACAACGAGGGCTGCGAGCTCAGCTGGAACGAACGCTGGCTGCTCATCTTAGAGAGGGGAGATTTGGGTCGGCCGGGGAGCTGCTCTGTCTGGTAGCGCACAGGCGACCCAGACTGGGACCTGTACAGACAAACACTTTCTACTGGCGGACTGGCTCTGTATTGAGCAGCTCGACGTAAAGGGGAAGGCGGTGGGCTCTGGTGATCCATTCCCTGACCCCCGGTGCCCATGGGAGGCGGGCTGAAGCGGTAGGACGGCTGATGCACTGGGGAGGTGTGAGGCGGGCTGTGTCGGTAGTGGGAGTTCTGATGTGTTGGGGATAGAGAGGGCGATGTGGGCTGGTACGTCCCGCGGGTCGGAGAGGACATGGAGGACGAGGTGGGGTGATACTCATAGGGCTGGCCCATGGGCGAACCCCCAGCTAAATAGATCTGATCTGGATGTGTGGGGGAGAGCGGTGGGCTCTGAATGATGGGAAGGCTGGAGGGATTTGTGAGAGACTCAGGTGGGGGCAGACCCATAGACATGGCCTCCAGCTCCTGCTCCAGGTAGTCCTCATCCTCAAACAGGTCCTGGACGGGCTCCATGTCCTCCAGGCGGGGCTCTGGGGGAGGAGGGAGAGGCATGGACAGGGACAGGGACTCCTCCTCTTCTGGGGGAGGCGTAGGAGGAGGGGAGGGAGGAGGCTCCAGTTCCAGGTCCTGCTGCTGGTGCTCCTCCTGGTCGAGCTGGCGACACTCCTCCTCCACCCTCTGGAGCAGCCGCTGGATCTCTCGGTTGTTGGGGCACTGCTTTATGGCTTCATTCAAGTCCTCTAAGGCTTCAGGAAATTGTCTGGAAATAGGAGAATGATAGTTACTGTCCTTCTGGGGAAAAAAGTCGTTGTCCAAAACATAACAATTAACAAAAGATTCACAACTGCATGGAAGAGCACATGCCACAGAAGTTCTTAAACATGTGTGCCAATCACTTAGTGATGTGTAGGGGGACACAAGTGCGTACCTGCTGCTACGCTTGGCGCGTGCCCTGGCGTAGTACGCTTCATATGATTTTGGTTTCAGTTCAAGTGCCTTCGTAGCAAATTCCTCAGCCATCCCAAAGTCCTGCAGAGATTGAGCAGAGGAGAACACGACGACTGAACGACACCCAAAACAAATGTGGTCAACAGCATTATCTTGTAATGCATCATACTGTTCGCTTCGGTTATTTCATGTGATAATTGTCTCAAAAATGGGCAAAAGTGAATCTTAACATAAGTGCGCTTTAGTCTTCTAGCTCGCCCGCCGACTTACGTTCATTTTCCTCCGACATCGGGACAGGTTGAGGAAGAGCGATACTTTGAGTTCCCTGAATGTCTTGAGGTCCTCGCTGAAGCCTTCGCGTGGAAACTTTTTGAGTGCATACTGATAACGCTGCGCTGCCTCCTTCACCTTCCCCTTCTGCTGGGCGAACAGAGAGACGCCTGGTTATCCTTTCACTCACAGTGAAATTAAAGACTAACCTGAAACCTTAAAAACATAAACCAGAGCTAAACGCAGAGACACTTTCAGCATCGTTTAGAATCTGTTTTCAGACTGAGCTCGTTCAAGAATTTGCTTTGCTCGGGAAAGTCTAATGCCGATACTCTATACTACAATCATACCCGCAGAATCAGGGTTAATTTTACTTTATTTTAGTCTGCAGAAAATAGCAGCCTATATAATTTATATTAATTGATCCCAAAGGAAATCCATATTTATCCATATTTAACAGGAACAGATCACATCGTTCTTGCTGAAAAAATGCATTTAAACAATGTTTTATCTTTTCACAGATTATCTATAATTCACACTGTGAAATCTGAGGCCGGTCCTCTGACCTTGTAGAAGCTGTCCCCCTCCTCGATGAGTTTGCTGAGTAAGATGATCATGATGTCGGGTTTGGACGTGGCCATGGCCCATGTGGCTGGACCTGGGTAACACAGGAAGGAGCAGATGAAAAAAAAAAGAGAAAACACACAGTGAGAAAAGACACACAGTAATAAGCAGAAGAGGAAGGAAGGAAGGAGCGACTGGGAGTCACACTACACACAACAATAATAACAGGGGTGAGGACGACAGCCAAAATGGGGGGGAATGGATGAGAAAAGACAGGCAATCCACTCCAGAGAAAAGATTGCAAAAAAAAAAAATTTGCTCTGGAACCCAGAGAACACTGTGACCTCGCTATGGGAAATCAGACCTGGGTCAAATACTATTTGCCAATAACTATGAGGCTTTTTTTTATAATCCTGCTGGGAGCCGCAGAGGCTCGGCCTAATTGGAGTGCAGATTGAGCACCTTTTGAATTTTTCAACCCAAATTATCTTTAACTATTTTCTGCAAATATGTTTTGGCCCAGGCAAACCCAGTGTAGATGTACAGTCCAAAAAAAAAACTAACTAAATAAATAAACAACACTGTCATGTCTTTCTACTGAGACACATTTTCTGTCTCGTCAAGAAGTGCAGAAGTACAGTAATTCTTTGCGCTACTGACTATTTCCGGGATGTAATTAAGAGCAGCAGAAAAGCAGGAAAACACTAATTTTCCATTAAAAACAAATGGATGCTGCGTGTCTAAAGATGGAAAGAAAAAAAAAAAAAAAAAAAAAAAAAAAGATACTTGGTCCCCGGAGACTGTTTTACGACTGAAAAATCAAACACAATCCCTTCCCTGAAACTGATGTGTATATGTTGTGTATCTGCGCAACAGCAATCCTTGACACGTGTACACACACCACACAGAGATGAAAAAGGAGGAAGGGGCGGGGTCTTGCACAAGGAGACACGGGGCAGGTACAATAAACAAAAAGAGGCAAGCAGGAGGGACATAACAGAGCTCTGCAGGCGTTAGCTGTCCCTCTGAGCTGGTGGTGGTGGTGGTGGTGGTGGTGAGGGTGGTGGTGAGAGTAGGAATGCTGCTGACTGGCCTAGCTGACACTGAGGAATCGTCTGGAGGATGAGCGATGCACAGTACAGTGGTTTATCACCTCAGTCTGTGGTGGCGGTGGTACAAAAGGAATTACAAAGACATGCATTTTTTTTTTTTTTTCTTTTCTCGCTAAGTCACTACCACGCAAGTGTTACTGAGGGCTTCCGTCATGCATCTGTGGGATGGAAGGTCAACACCTCGATACGACGTCACAGGCTGGAGGCCGGGCATGCTTGTCATTAACCACTTGAACGTTAGCATCTACCTCTAGGCAATCCCGACTGCATCACTGTCAGTGCTAATACCTTTGCATGTTATTATTTGTCAGTTTGAGAAGGTTTTGGTAGCTAAGCTCGCCTGCCGACACTTAGGACGACACAGACAACACAGAGAGAGGAGATAGAGCTGTCAAAATGCCTGGTGGGGTGAGAAGTCGACAGCCTTGGCTTTACCTCGGGGCCGACTGGGCAGCGTCTGACATCCTGGGGCCGGAGAGAGAGGCGGGGGATAGGGGCAAGAGAGGGGGGTGGGGGGGTATAGGGTGAGGAGGAAGGAGGTCATGAGCGAGGGAAAAGGAGTGTAAGTGGGGAGGGCAGAGGAAGGAAGGGGGGCCAGAATTGCCAGAGAAAACAGGGGTGTGGGAGTGCGTAGGAGCGAGAGGAAAGAAAGAGAGAGAGAGAGAGAGAAACAGCGGGAGGGTGAAAGAGAAAGAGAGGTGATGGCGGTGGTGGTGGTGGTGGTGGAGGAGGAGGAAAAGTGAGAAAAGGAACACAAAAAAAGCAGCAGTGAGAAGCGGAGATAAGTGCCTCAGCAAAAAAAAAGAAAAAAAAAAGAAAAAAAAGAAAAAAAAGAAAAGGAAACACAGATACCAAAAAGAAACACCGCAAGCGCTAATAACAACCTGTCTCTGAGCAACCGCAGAGGAGAAGCCAGAGAGGATGTGATTGAGAGAGAAACAGCGAGATATCATGAGCGATAGAGACAAACAGAGAACATGACAGAGAGAGAGAGAGAGAGAGAGAGAGAGAGAGAGAGAGAGAGAGAGAGCAAAAACCACACAGCGGCAACAGTAGTACAATAAAAAGAAACACACATCAGAGCTAGAAATAGCTGAGGAGAAGCAGCACGGTGTGGCAGTGGGGGGGGGGGGGGGGACGGGGCGGATGACATACAGTAGTAGGAGGTGGTTTCAGCTACATGGAGACACGAGCCTGAATCCATGGCTTATTGCAGTAAAATGCTACAGTGCTCTATAATGACCAGCAGGAAGAGCAAACTAAAAAGGGAGTGTGTTTCCGTCGTCGGATCCTCCCTTCATAGTCTCTCATGCGGCTCATGCTTGAAACTCCAACGCATGACATTTCCAACCAAAATCTCAAATTGCATCTCAGGCAAATGACCTTTTATTTATGGTGCCACGGGACAACGATGCTGCGTTTTAGAAGAGGTCCTTTGTGCGCTAAACAGTAGGCTCTTCAGTCTGCCAGCCCGCTCTTACCTATCTTGGCTCCTTTCTTGAGCAGGGCGACCACCACCGACGTGTTTCTGCAGCCCACCGCCCTGTCGAGAGGACGCATCCCGCTGTAGTCTACGTGCTCTATCATGGCCCCGTGGTCCACCAAGAACTGGACCTGGAAAGACGGAAAGGCATGTGGTGAGAATAGTCGGGGAAGAGCAACCGGTGTGAAAACATGTGCATATCTATCTGGTCCAGGTGCCGAGTCCAAGAACTGCTACTGTGAATGATATTTCTCATCTGCTCCAGACTCCAGGGAGAATTTCTTCTTAATTACTTAAAGAAAAATACAATATTTCAAACCCAAACTGGTTCTTTGTTAAGAACAGAGGGATCAAAACAGACTCAGATGTGCAGCACAGAAGAAATGGCCTCACTTGCACCCATAGCTGTGTCTGCAGCCAGCTGGATAACTGCTCATATTCAACAAATGTTGCACGTTAAATGTTGTACTTTTCTTGATGGAATACAGAAGTCTAAAAAGAAAAGCAAGAATTTACAACTGAGAAGCTGAAGCTAGAGACTGTGGACTGTACTTGTGTATTTTATTTTGTTGTTAATTCTGTTTTAATTTTAGAAACAATAATAACAATAATATAATATTAAACTATTGATACAGCACTTTTCAAAAACAAGTTTACAGAGACATAAAAACAGAAAACACACAGTGCAATTACATATCAAAATAGCTTCAGCGCAATCAGGAAATGGAAACAGCGAAAGCAGAAGGGATTCTCCAAAATCATTTGCCAAAATCAGTGACGTCTGAGATGCAGACGGTGACAGATGGGTGAACAGATGAACAAATAACAATAGAACACGAGGAAATGATCACGGCTCCTCCGCTGACCTCATGATATGAAACACTTGATTAGTAATTTGTCTCAAGGCTCCGGTGATGAAAAAAGTTTTTGAGCACCAATAACAAAACAACTTTTTTTTCTGTGTATTACATTGAAGAAAACGAACATGTTCTTCTACAAAACCTTTTTTTTTTCATGTAACAAGAGAGGCCAAGGTTCGCAAAGACAAGCTGCCGCACAAGGACGAAATAAACTAATTAAAACTGGCGAAATGATTAAATCTAGTAAGAAACTGTTGGATCAAAAATAAGCAAAGAAGAGCAACAATCTGAGCGTCTCCAATCTGAGCGTCTGTTTTTAACGCCGAGTGCTACGGACACGAATCAGTCGTCACCAAAAAAAAAAAAAAAGTACAGAGGTTCAATACCCAGCCCTCACTCACCACTTCAGAGTCGCCGTAGAAAGCCGCCAGGTCGAGGGGCGTGCGTCCGTTCTTGTCCGCGTGGTCGGTGGCGGCTCCACTCTCCACCAGGCAGCGGACGACAGGCAAATGGCCTTTGAGACAGGCCCAGCTCAGAGCCGTCAGACCCTCCTTATCCATCAGAGACAGGGAGGCTCCTGCAGAAAGAGACACAGCCAACCGTCTTTCACTCTAAATCCTTTGTAACCACTAAGCATTTTATAAGTAAATTCTTAATTCATTTTAATGCATTTTTAAAATCTTGCTAATTCTATTTGGCCATAATCACTGTATAAAGAACTTTAATTACCCTGATTCTTATTAGTGCAGCCGGTGTGTTTTTTGTATGAGAGACTATGGGGTTTAATGTTAAAAAATGAATATTTAAACAGGAATTGCTGTCAAAAAAAAAAGAGCAGTAGCATAATGATTGGAGTTAAAAAGTCACATTAAGTTTCAGGAGCCTTCAAACTGAGCATCCACTGTCATTTGGACTTTTATACTGTATTTCTTACATTACCATCAAACTTTTATACAAGAAAACATACAAGTGGTTGCACATATTTATTTCCTCAGCTATTAACTTATTGAGTATCTGTTGAGATATTCTGTATAGTATTTTAATAAAGTCATTTGGGAAAATCCTTCTGTTTATGTATGTATTCATACTTGTGTTTACAATGTTGTATTTGTAATTTGGTTTTAGTTTTGCATGAAAATGCCCATTAGGCAAATGAATAATTAAATCAACTCAACTACACTTTGTTCGAAGCCCTAGTTTGTTTGTTTTTTGTTTTTTTTAAATCACAAATATGATAATTTACCTTGGGCTAATAAAAACTCCACAGTTCCCAGGTGTCCCTCTGAGGCGGCCATCATTAGAGGGGTGCGACCCTGCTTGTCAGCCAGGTTGACATCTGCTCCGTGTGTGAGGAGGAGGTCCACGATCTAAAACACCGAAATACAGCATCCATGTCATTTTACAGCAAATGGACGTCTCACTCGCTCAGTGGTTACTGGTTTCCGCTTCTTTACTGACAGGGGGGGAAGAGACCAGGCAGACAGCTCACCTGCCAGTGTCCCTGTCGGACGGCACTGAACAGCGGGACGATGCCGCGTCTGTTGGGCTGGGCCACAGCTGCGCCCTGTTCCAGTAACAGGCGACAAACCTCCAGCTTCCCCCGACCAGAGGCTGCAGTCAGAGCTGGACACACACACACACACACATACATCACAATGAGGAGAGAGAGGAAGGTAAGCAGGGTAAATGCAGTATGCACAAAGTGCCTTCATGCATGCATGGGTTTTAAACAGAAATTCTAATATATTTTGGGGTGAGTTTAGTCTGCACCCCTCACCACTTATCTCCTTCTCCTCATCCTTGGAATCTAATGTCTAATGTAAAATATAAATCTGCAGTAAATGATTTTTTGGCTACTTGGTGGCACTGGAAACAAGTTATACACAAAAGATCACCTTTTAAATTGATATGGCAAACTTGTTAGGAAACAATGGCTAATTTACCAACATAATCATTAATTTAGAGTCCTGTTTGTGTCCACCTGAGTAATCCCAGTCAAATATTAACTCTGCTTTAGCTCTGTTTCTGATCTCTATTAAATCCTGAGTGAAACATCTGACTCTTTAGCTGCTAAATACTCCGCTATGTTCACAATGCTATTAAGGTGGTAAGAGTGAACCAAAACAGAGAAGTTATGACCAGAAAGCTAAACAATGAGTTGTAACCCACTATAAAGCTCAGTTAATCCAATGAGAGCTTCAGATTCAGGTTCATAATCAACCTGTTTTACATTGTCCATTTGTTTTCACACTGTCATTTTGTGCACTGTTATTAGAAACATATTGGTTATAAGCTGATTTAAAGCAAAACCTGACCACAAAAAATGCAGAGAAAAGAAGAAGAAAAGAGAAGAGAAAAGAAAAAGAGAATAAGAGAAGAGAGGAGAAGAAGAGAAGAGAAGAAGAGGATACACTTGAGACCTTTTGGGAGCAAAGGCCTTTGAAAAGACATCTTCTTGAATGTAATGACTATAATTGGAATAATTAAAGCCGAGTGAATGCATGTCTTATGATCTGAGTGGTAGCAGGCCTGGAAGGGTGACCCCGGTCAGCCTGCTGCAAGATCACTTTAATACACACAGTTCAGTAAGTGCATGTGTAGCCTACATCCTGTGCATGCTGCGAAAGTAAAGAATAATGTATTTCTGTGGACCTATCCAGCAACACTGGGATTAGAAATCATCTTCAAGAATAACTGCCATCCTCCTGATCCTTTATAAACAATGAAAGCACGGCTGAGTGAGAACAAGTCCCCTCTCCATATGACAGCGAGAAGCAGCCTCTCCAACGCTCCAGCAGGGGAATAATGCTCGCAATGAGGTTTCATAGCTTTAGGTTACAATGATACATTACATTTTTCAACACCCTGCCACAGTGCAATCAGACTAGTCATTTCTAAAGCACCCTAGAGCACACTCATCCTTCCCCCCTCCCCCTCCTCAGTGTGAGCCCAGCCCTGTCTCTGCTCCAATGACACCACTGCACTGCCATCAGCATCTGACGCAGCAGCAGCAGCAGCAGCAGACACACACACGAAACGATCTCTCATATCCGCACTGCAGCGCTCTGCCTCACAGTGTCACACAGAAAAAAGCCTCTCACAAAACACATCACAGATCCTTAAAAAATGGTGTGATGTCTGGCTACAGGAAGTATTCCCACCTGTCTCCCCCCACAGGGTGTCAAAGTTATTGATTTGAGCCCTCTCCACCTCCTCTTCATCTTTCTCCGGCAGGTCCAGCAGGTAGGACACGATCTGACGGGGAACAAGGTTCAAGATGACACAGATTAATGTCCAGGTTTATGACAGTCCAAGAGGTTAAATACAAATAAATACAATAATTATTATTATATACAAAATAAAACCACTTATTTTAAAGCTTTCCTTTTGAATCTGTTGTAATCTGATTGAAAAGGCTGAATTTTGGAAAACTGACAATCATCATTAGTAACGACACCGACCACCAGATCTTGGTCAGTCAGTTTCACAAAATTATAATTATCATAGAGCAACAAGAAGGAGTTACCACATATTATAACTCATATTATAACTGTATTCTCATTTAACTTCTTTTCTCTTCCTTCCTACTCTCTCTGTTTCCTCTCCCTCCTTTCACTCTTTCTCACATTCAAACTGGTATAACTGGTATACATTTCTATAGTGCTTTCTCTCTCAAGCCATTAATGTTTCACCATCTGATTCTGCTTCTCCTGGCTCTCTGAACATTTGTGAACATTTGATTAGTGCTGCCTGATTCTCCTTGAATTCCTCTTCATGGAAGACACTTTAAAAATCAGCTTTACAAATGTTTTATGAAGAACGAGAGCCCAAGGGTATAGTCTGTGGGCTGAAGAGTTCATGATGTCAAGGCAACCGAAGCCATCACCCCGCCCTGCCGTACCTCTGTGTATCCCATACTGGCTGCAGCGATGAGGGCCTGCTGGACTGCGTGGCTCTTGGTGAAGGCCGCCTGTTGTTGGGTCTGTGGCGACTGCTGTTGCTGTTGTGGCCCCATGCTCCAGTCACACTGGATGAGGAACTTCACCACCTCCATGTGGCCCCTCAGCGCCGCGTGAACCAGAGCACACTGCCCATTCTTATCCAAGTGGTCCACCTGGCGGCAGGACGAGGGTTTGATCAGGGACACGAGTAAACACAGGAGGAGGTGGGACGGAGGGAATTTTTCTGTGCAGTTTCATACCTTCGCTCTCCTGCGGCAAAGTGCGGTCACGATGGCCATGTGTCCCCCGGCGGCGGCGTAGCCCAGTGGTGTGAGGCCACTTTCGGACGGGGCGTCGACAGAGGCGCCGAACTCAAGCAGCAGAGCCACCATGTCCATGTAGCCCAGGTGGGAGTGGACGCACAGGACGGGGGCATTGTTCAGCACCTCCGTACGGTAGTTCACATTGGCGCCGCCCAGCATCAGTAACCGGCTCACCTGGAAGACGTGCAGGAAATAAATAAAAAAATGAAGTAACACAAAGTTAGCACTGCATAGTAAAGCTTCAAATATTGAAAAGCAGGAGAGAGGAAGACTTCTGTGATGCATATTTCAAGAGTTACTCTTGATTTGGTACCCAGAACATGTTGAAATATTCTTTCTGTATGACTTCTCTCTGCCATGTTAGCGTCTGTACCTTGATGTTGGGAGTGTAGAGGTTTCGAAGTGAAGAAAGTGCAGCTGAAAGGCCCTCCGTGCTGTAGGATACCCACAGGCCTTGCAAGATAGATGAGGAAACCCCGACTTTCTTGCTGAGACCCTTGAACAGAGAGATAGAGTGTAAATATTCATTACTTTGGCACCAGACCACAGCTGTGTGTGTGTGTGTGTGTGTGTGTGTGTGTGTGTGTGTGTATATAGATGTATGCAGAGCCACATAATAGTATACCTTGAAGATATGTGCTTTGAGGATGTGATGGCCCAGCTCAATAGTCTGCTGTCTGTTCAGCTTGTTCTCCTGCCGAGAAAACCAGAAGGCCAGTAGGGTGTGCCCGCTCCTGCAGGGATGACAAACGCAGAATCTTTCAATACCTGAGCCTGAGTCATCGGGTCATTACGTTGTGTTATCATCTACACAGTTGGTGCAATCGGTTTTTAATTATAGAACATGAAATAAAATGTTCTATAAGACTTCCTCTGTAGGATAAAAATAATGTACCTGTGACTAACAGGGAGATTTCTCTTTATACAGAGTCATGGATGTGGCTTTAAAAGTACTAGTAGTGCTAAGTAGTATTTCTGCACAACCAGCTGCCTGGAGAATTATTCACTGTCACATGTTTGTACATATATTTCAAAATAAATGCTTAAAGATGTAACTCTAATTTTTGTTTTTAATCAAAATCCTGTTAATGCTACTTCTTGAAAAACAGATTTCTGAACAACCTCATCCATAAATTCAGCGACTCCACAACTTCCAAAAATAATTTGGCAGTATAAAGCAGTGCATTCTGGGTGATCAACCCCCCAATAAAACCTTGTTTTAATTCCCTTGCGTTTTATGGCCCCTCTCAGCCAGATGTCCAGATGTCCTGTTTCCAGATGGGATAATCAAAACTCCTGAAGCAAAACGCTAAAAAACTTTTATTTTATTTTTTAAATTGCTGTTTTCTCGTGACAATATCATTCACGTCACCATGTCTCCTGCCTGTGCTCACCTCGGATCACAGAGGAACTTTGTCTTTTCTCCCTCTTCTCTCCAGATCAACCACTCCCTGAAGGAGGGGTGAACAAACATCCTTGTGCCGTCCCTCCTCTTCACCAGGAAGACAGACAGGTTGTCCACACGTTGCTGGAAATCCTCCCAGTCCAGTGTTCCCTGCAGCCACACACATCGTCTCCATGTTATTTTGGACACCGAATACTGTTTCCTACAGCACTGACACACTGTTTATGTCAACAGCTGATATTAGACGTGGTCTCTGTGCATGGAAACAAGCCATCACTTACTGTTTTTAGAATCTAAGTTATCTATCTATGATCATAGAAGAAGTGTTAGGTGTCCGACAACACTGTGCATTAACAATCTCACTGACAAAGCAATACATGTCGACGTCGCTCATTCCACCCAAAAAGAAAAAGAATCCTTGCTGCATCTGGAACTCAATAAATGAATTCCATATAATTTGAATTTATCTATTTTTTCATGCAAATAAAAAAAACAGACTGTTAAATCCACTGAAAGCTTTAATCCTAATTATTTAACATTAAATATTCAATAATATGCAACAAGTCAAGTCAACAAGGTATTATCTCTAAACAGTTTAGCACCCACAAACTAAGAGGAATAGCTTGATCAGGACTGTGTGGGTGTGGTTTGATCAGATTTGACTGACAGTGTCAAAACCAAACCGCTAACTGTGTCACCTTTCTGTTATCTGAGCTTCAACTTCAAACCAGTGAGAAAAACACAGAGCGGACAATAAATATTTGTGATGGTGAAGAACTATAAGATATGGTGCGTTCATGTAAGACCGGACCTCGTCGTTCATAGAAAGAAGCCGATTCAAAAATACATTTTCAGGGCCTTTAAGTACGTTTCTGTGCTACACAAACATCTGACAACATTTTATGAATTTCGATTGAATTACCGACTCATTGACTTTAGCTCGCAGATGGAGTAAACGCAAAGATTAGCACGAGATTACTGCACAAGGTAACTAAAACCCTTTTTTAAACCCAAATTTACATATTAAAATTCTGCTCTTTAAATGTTGTACTTGGGAAATTGACTTTGATACCGACTGGATCACCAGGGCCATTTGATAATACTTTAATTCCTTTCAAGAGCTTGAGATATGAACCTTTTACTATCCACTGCTCCACCTGTTGGAGACTAAGAGCTGCTTTGAAAATCTCTAGGAAGTTACAACATGCAACATACAATATGTACTGTGCCTATTGATTACAGCCTTTTCTGGTCTGTCTTAAAAAGAACGCTGTTCTACAGTTACCAAGGTACAATGTACAACAGTGTATACTACAGAAACATTAAAAACATACTGTCTCCCTACCTTTCAAACAGTGTAGCTGTCTAAAGATCAAAAATACTAAATCTGTTCTTATTCAGGCCAAACCCCACAAAACGAGAGCGCGAGGTCTTGTATGCTTAAGAATTATTACCTGCAGTGAACCGGAGTTGATGGCCTGATATATCTGCTCGTCGGTGAGCGGGTGAAGCGAGGCCACGGCCACGTTGAGCAGAGGAAGCGCCCGCTCGAACGACGACTGCGTGGGGAAGCGCATGTTGCACTGCAGCAGGTATACCTCCGCGAGGTTGACTGGAACCACCTGAGGAGGGAGGGCGAGAGTCTGAATTACAATGCTGATTTTTCCTTTGGATCAGCTCTACAGAAAGATGAATAATGGATCGTGTTTGTGAAGCACATCTTCAACTATTCCACATGGTCTTCCTCAGAGAAGAGAAATGTGAATTTATTAGTTGCCATTTTTTTATGGAGCCTGCGAGCCTGCTTTTGAATACTGAAATTAAATGAACCTGGGGGTGTGAGATAAAATATTTCATTATGAAATACACACTGAAACAATTCAACAACATTATTTATCAAAAAGGTGTTTGATTCTGACGGTCAAAAAGAAGATTTTTATTACACTACTTTTACACAAAGCATCTCAGGGTGCAGGTAAAATAAAAGAAATGCCTTTCCAGTGGGGCCGTTGCAAGTTATGAGCAACAAGGTATTTAGGTTTTCAAAGTTTGATACTGTGGGCTTCCACATGCAGACAACTCGAGAACCCCCACCCAACATCTCCCCTCGCCCCGACTGCTATGTTGTTTGTTCACATTTTGGCAAATTAAACCATTAGAGTGTGCTGAATTAGCTATTAGCAGGTCCTGTTTGCAGTGTACCCATGAATCTACAGACAACTGTCACTGTCTCACTTTGATGCTGAAGAAAACTTAAAAACATGATTATTCTCAGGCGACTTCTGCAGTTATAAGGAGCATCTTTTTTCTATTATTTCTAAGCAGATTTATGGACATTTTTCGTGACGGACACTGAAGATAATGATCACCTCGGAAAGGATAAATCACACTACATCTAAAAAATCTGTGTGATATGTCTGTGTGTTAAGATTTGACTTTTGAGTTATGACTCGAATGATGCAAATTGAAGCAATCGGGATTTGCAGGGTTCCTTCATTTCAGTTGTTTTTAGAACACCTTCCTGCACTTCCTCCCTTTCATCTCACACGGTATCTTTGTCTCACGCCTCTGCCTCTCGCCCCTGAAGAGGAACGCCTCACAGTTTGAAAACCTCTGCTTTACATACGCCACCTAAAGCCGACCCTGTGAAAACCCATTACGACCGAAGCAGTGATGCCGCACCTTATAGCTGGAGCTTTTGAGGACAAGGTAGCCCTTCTCGATGAGGTCAAAGGTGAGTTTGAGGTACAGATAGGAGCCCTGACTCAGGGCCTTGAGGTGGGCGCTGAGCTTGCCGAAGGTGGTGTTGTCCATCTTGCCGTTGAGCGAGATGTTGTTCTGGATCTCCGGGCTGCTGTGGATGCGGTGCAGGATGTAGCCCTGCAGGTCCTGGTCTATGGCGTCGTTCTCCTCCAGGCTGTCCAGAGAGATGCGGTGGAACGGCAGCGCGTTGGTGATCTCCTGAAGAGTCCCAATCGTTTCAGTCAGGTGACATCGGTTCAGACATTTTGATATATTTGACCACATCCTACATACTTACTAACAAAGGTGAACGGACTCACATGCTGGTCAAAAATAAAGTACGACATGCGATGAGTAACTTTCTCTTTCATTCATGAGGAAGAAATAGGTATAAAGTGGGGGGAGACAAATATAGCCAAGACAGAACCAATACAGTTCTGATTTCATTCATATCTATTCATATCCTCTGCATAATGTGCACAGAGGAAAAAGGAAAAGGTCAGAGACAAAGAGGCTACAGTTGTACTCGAGACAAATCTAATACTGTCAGTTAGTGGCTTCTAGTTGATGCAAAAATAACCCACTCAAAGTGTTATTTAATCCTAACCCTCGCTGGCAAATAAAAACTAGTCCCTCCATTCTGGATTTAAAAGATGCAAGCAGTGAGATCCACTGTCATCAGTATATCATTTGTCCTCTACCTGTAACGTGGTTCTGACTGTGACCACAAGCTTGAGCCAGGGAGGGAACTTGTTGATGGTTTTGGTGAGGAAGGACACGATGGTGTCTCCGTAGTCTGGCTTGTGGAACTCCGCCTCGTTCAAACCGTCGATGAGGATGATGAGGTCCTCCTCGGAGTTGATCTTCCTCTCTGAAAAACGTGAAAACAGACATAAGTTCAGGAAATATTTTATATAAATGATGGACTGTAATGAAAAATTATCTGCAGTTTGAGCTTCAAGGTTCATTCTTGACCTTATAAATAGCAGATTAACCGGAAGAAAAAAAAATATTCTCAGCACAGGCACAAGGTCCAATTTACTTTCAACCACATGTCATGGCCTTCCTCGGCAAATGGCAATTGCTCTGTCGTAAGCTTGGAAACAAGTTTGGAGTAAATTGTTTTTTTACCTGCTTTTTCTATATGACAAAAAGCTTTAAATTTAACTATATATTCTAAAATGAATCATCACAGGTTTTGCTTTCATCTCTATTTCAAGTGAAGTTTTTCAGTGGAGCTCAGGTCTGGTTTAATAAGTCAGGAGGCTTACAGGAAATTCATACACTGAGATCATGAACTTTAATCTTGATTATATTGAGAACACTGTGCACAGGAGGCAAATAATATCATGCACCAAGGACTTGAGTCAAAGTATAAATTGGAGGCTGAGGTCCGAACAGGCATCAATTATAATTTGCCAAAAGCGCAGTGTTTGAATGGTGAAGTAAATGACTTCAAATGATTACAAAATCCAGATCATTATGAGGAAAGTTCAAACCAACAGAGCAAATAAAACAAAGAGGCAGAATAACATCGAGAGGCCTTTAAATCTCTTTGAGCTATAGACGTCTGCACTTTTCAAACTACAGTCATCTAAAGTTTTTATGCAATGGATTATTATTTACTTTATACAGATGATCTCATACATCCAGTTTCCATGGAAGACATGGATACAATGCAAATGTCAGCTCACAGAATAAAGTCTGTGTTACATATCTGTCATATTAAAAAAGTGCCCACCCCTTTGCTGGAGTTATATACATGTATGAATACACTTAGATATGAGAAAGCTTCCATTCAAATCACCAGGTATGATGAAATATTCAGATCCTTTCCTTAGGTAAAAGCATTGATACCCCAACATAAAACTAAAATGGTCCCTGTGACTGATAATTTATTTTGTATTACATTAATAATACAGTTGCATCAACGTGGAGATACTTTTAATAATTACTTAGCAGTAGTAGGTAGTTTGATCTGTTGAGTAAGATCAAACCGGAGGATCATGAGATGATTAACGTGGGAGGAAAGAAGAGAAAACTATGTTCTGATATATTCATTTGGATTTGTTTTGGCAGATTTCTCCAGTCTTGGATACCTCTAGTTCTTTGGGCATCAAACAATGAGAAATGACTCTGGATGAACGTTTTACAACTTGTAGACATGTAGTGTGTGATAAGAGAACACAACCACACGCTGTTTTTTATTTTTTTGGAAGAGGTAAGAAGCCAAAAAAGGTCGGGAACCGCTGGTTTAATCTTTAACAGTGTTTTGTATTTTAATATGATTTTAGGTCAAATTTTAATCTGAGGAGTAAAAACTAATTTCCGCTGTCAGATAAATGTAGTGGATTATGTCACTCTGAAGAACAGAACAACATGAAATAGAAATACTCAAGCAAAGTATCTAGGATTGTACCTAAGTGCAATGCTTGAGTAAATGTACTTAGTTACACCGTTCAACTGCAAGTGTCTCACCTTTGTAAAGTGCGTCCAGGGGCTCTAGGACCCCCCTCCTGAAAGAGGCCAGGGGGTCCTGGACGCAGGAGCGCAGACTCAGGATGCTCTGTAGGTGCGGCTCCCTCAGCATCTGCTCCCTGTAGGCGACGAGGTGCGGCGAGCGGCACAGCAGAGCCGCCACGTTGTGCACAAACTCCGGCACCAGGCAGGTGTAGGCGTTATCTGCCTGGCAGTAGTGGTACGCCACCACCTGGGGGCGACAGAGAGTTGAGGGAAGATTGCAGCCCGGTCAGTGGGAGACATATGAGCATTTCAACTCCCTCCTGGTAATCCTAACCTTGACCAACCGTTGGGTATTGCAAAAGTGATTGAAGATCAGTGTCAAGGAGCATGGGAGTCCGATGACACAAATTCAAAAATAACACTTTTTTTTTTCTTTTTTTTTTCTCACGGCTCTACCGGTGCACAGCCAGTTTTTCCCAGCGTCTACTACAGCTACAACTCATTTGAGATTGAGTCAACTTCATGGTGGATGATTGCAGTATAATGAAACATAATACTTCTCGTTTCGCTGTACGGTTTTAGCCATTAATAATTCATGGTTTCCGCCTGCCAGGAGAGACTGATTCGGAGTCAGCGCATGCATGCTCGTGTGTGAGATGACTGTGGCACGAAGGAGTCAAGTGTTAAACCGTCATATTTCACAGCTGTGGACTTGAAACATGTTCAAATGAATGATTAAATGAACGAATGAATGAGTAAAAACGTTATCTTAGGATGGACATGTAGTGACATTGGGAAATAGCAGAAGGGCAGGTGGATTTTCTGAGAGGTCAGCCGGCTAAACAACAGCAGCAGGTGTGACCAGGCGCTCCTGGGGACTGAGAGATCACAGAGGGTTTGAATTTTCAGAGGCGGTGGCAGCGATCAGAGGCCAGTGAGAAAAAGGGAATGGGGGGAGAAAAAAAAAAAAAAGACTAATCAAAATGGAATGCTAATTTTTGGTCACAATGGAATAAAGGGCTTTAAAACAAAAGGGGTGAAAAAGGGAGTGAGCTCAATTATTAATGCACAGAGTTAACAAGATCTAATAGCTTGGCTGGGAAATGGCTTTCTGCAGGTATAAATATTTCATAAGGCTCCCTGGCAAAGTTGTTTTTTCTTTTTTAAACACATCTGCATAATGCATCAGGCTGGGACTGGGGATGCAGATGGCTAAGCAGCAGGGGAGGGGCGCCGAGGTGCAACAGCAGACAGGAAAAAGAGCGGGAATAAGAGCCGGTCTGACACATCATATAGGTTTACAGTTGCAGGGAGGTTAGAGGAAGTTAAATACCCGGGTAATTAAAAAAAAATAAAATAAAATAAAAGAAGAAGAAGAAAAAAAAAAAAAGAGCGTCACATAAATTATGCTGAAATTCTTAAAAAGGTAAAAACAAAGTCGCGGCTTATCTCCGCCTGTTTTGAAGTCTGCCACCTACAGAGGAAGCCCCGCGTGAGTCGTGTGAAACGTGGACTTTCTCTCAGAAGCCTGAAACCGTATCGTTTCTGACAGAACCTGCGGCCATGTCCGCGCTCCTATTATGGAGAGGCATTTTCAAAAGAGCGTATCATTGGCTATCCTACCACCTCTGTTGCCACCAACGGAAAAATTAAGACATAAAAAGGAGCCGTTTTAAATTATCTTGCAGTTTTTCAATTAGTGCCAGACTGTAGCTGGGAAATTTCACGCTGAACCAGGAACACAACGGAAATTTAATGCTATAATAAGATGACCATTGTAGTGATAGAACTATGTTTCCTTTGATGAAGAAAAAACGAAAGGAAAAAAAAAAAAAAAAAAAAACTGACAATGCTGTAGTATGCAAATAGGGCCCTTGACACAATATTTGGCAAATGGATATATTTTTTTTTCATTTCACACCGCTGTGAGAGGAAAAGGGGGAAATGGAGGTGTGTGGGGAGGCAGAAATGTTCCTAAGTGGCTTGGGATTGTGCACTTATCTTCTCGTAAAATATGGCAATTAAATGAGAGCTGGAGATTTCACTTTAAATCACTACAAGCGCACTTATTTTAGGAGTAAATGGCTGAAAAATAGATCATTTGCATTTGTAAGAGAAAGCAATGGGAGGAGAAAGAGTCGAAAACGCACCAATCGACCATCAGAGAGTATTTCAGCATTTAGAGACAATTGCTCAACCGATTTTCTTCTGGAAGACTTGAGGGTGTTTTGTCTGTAAATCAGAAGGTGAAATACAAATGTGTGTGTGATCATGTATATGTGTGTGTGTGTGTGTGTACACATGGTCACAGGTGTATCTGGTACCTGAGACGCCAGCCTCCTCATGGCTTCTTCCTGACGCCGCCTCATCTCTGGGGTCCCGGGACAGCTGCCTCCTCCCAGGGTGCCATGCGTGGGCTGTGGCTGGGTGAGAGGGAGCCCCTCTCCATCTGGACACAAGACGACACACACACACACACACACACACACACACACACACACACACACACACTTAGTTATTCTCCAAACAAAGCGCCTTCAGCTCACACGTAGAGATGAGTGGATGCCTTACGTTTGGGTGAGGCCTGCGGGCTGTCGGAGGCGATCTGTCTCATGCGGGTGCCGTGGCAGCTGAGAGCCACCAGGCGAGAGATGATGGCGGTCTTGCCGAAGCCGATGTTGCCGACCACTACCACGCCGCGGTTGGTGCTGGCGTTGGGGCTGTTGAGGTGGGCGTCGATCTCCTGGAAGAGCCACTCACGGCCCGTGAACACGGAGTCCATGGTGATGCTGGGCACCTCAAACAGCAGAGGTTTGAGGGCGATGTCTTGAGGACGATAGGGTGCAAAACGCACTGAGGGGTCAGGGACACAGAAACCTGGTTAATGGTATTTCAGCTATGAGCAACATTTATGTTCTTCTACTCAGCCACATAAACACCCACATACTATATCTGTGCATAAACAACTGATAAGAGTGAACAGTTAGTTAATCAGTAAAATCTTTTTAAACGTTTAACTACAATAAACAAGGTTATTTCTGCTGATTTTAGGTGAATTTAACCTATATCTATATCTAATAAAGCATAAACAATGATATTTATGATATTTCACGTCAAGGATTGACATAATTGAAATAACATGACCTGCATCTTATGAAATCAAATAGAAACTGATGAGACAGTGATACAGCAGTCTGTTGTAAAATGTTCTAGCTCGAACAGATTTGATTATTTTGGGAAAATGTTCACCAAGATCTCACTGTAAGCTAAAGATTAAGAATAGGAATAATTAAGACAGAAAAATTTCACCCAACTTCACAGAGGAAGTTCATACTGGTATCATTAGTTTGTATTATTCACATTATCTTCTTCTCCTCTTTGATTACAAACCTATATTTTGCAACAAAACACATCAAAATTAAGTGTGCCGTTTTATGTGTTTTGAAAATTTGCAGAAAGTCAAGGGAGCGACTGCTCTAACAGCCACAGCCGACTGTTGATTTTACTCACTAGAGGGAGTCATTAAACTGAAGTCCTCCAGAGGTTGGGCATGTTTTCAGCAGAACATATGGACCATTAAAGACTAATGAGGCTAAAATGAATCTGGTATGAACTTCTGAAGCTGTGTGATAAATTCAGTGTAAAATTTAGTCTGCTGCTTCTGGGTGTCATCTCCTGGGTCTCGTCTTTTTAAACTGATTTGAGCTTTGAGAGTGTGCTCTCTTTCTATCTGGTGTGTCGTTCCTTTAAATGTTAAATCAGCATCCGGTAATTATGCCTGATTTTTCCAATGTGAGTTGTACGTGAATAATACAAGTGCTGTGTGTGTGTGTGTGTGTGTGTGTGTGTGTGTGTGTGTGTGTGTGTGTGCGCGCACGCCACTCGACTAGACTGCTTTGACTTGTAAAAGCGGCGGCCAGCAAGCAGGGGCGACGGTGAGCAGAACGTGCCGCCTGATGCAACAAATGAAAATTAAAGTAACTTACGTGACTGGGATTGCCAGGCATGGGTGTTATTAGCGGAAGCTGAGACGAACAGCAAGCAAAAGATAGACAGAGAGAGAGAGAGAGAGAGACAGAGAGACAGAGAGTGAGAGCAGAAACAGTAATGAGAGAAGGAGGGAGGGGAGAGAGAAAAGGCAGTGAGGACAGGAATGGCAGCAGTGTGCAGTGTGTCAGAGCACAGGGCAAGGTGTAGCTCAATGAAAAAAACAAAACAAACAAAAAAAAAACAGAAGAGGAAGCAGCAGGAGCATCATCACATCATGATGTCAGAAATAAGGGGAAACCACCGGACCGGGGTCGATTACTAATTGAAATCCTTTGAATTACACACAACGTATTCTTCAGCATGTCTGCAGGGGAGGCTGGGGAAGGTTTGCACTTTTGGGAGAATCTAATTGGTTCCATTGCGCCGGGCGAGATCAATCAATCCCCATAAAAGTAATTGAATCCAGTACTAGTAGTAATTCGACCCTGGGATGGGGAGACTCCGACCTCAACTCCACAGCCTATTGTGTGTGTATCACAGGCTGCCAAAGTTAGTCACATGTTGACAGACAGTAATCTACCTCAGTATAAGACAAAACCCAAATTTGGAGTGATTACACAGAAGCCCGAACAAACAAAGTGTAAAATGGGATTTTTGTCCCAGTCCTTCACTGAGGTTAAATTTGATCAGACTCTTGCAGTGTGTTAGAAGAGAAATAGGCTGCTGGTCAGATGATAGCCGGTGCAGTAGTTCATTTCACACTCTGCAGCATACCAGCAATAAGCACACTGTGAGGCAGAGCTGTATGTGTCATACATTAGAGCGGCCGGATAAGTGCAGAATTTTTTATATGTCGGCAGATATTTCTTTACAGTGTGCAGGTACAGTTGAGCGAAAAATATATCATGGGCCAGGCAGGGGGCTGAGTGTTGCATTAGAGCTGTATGTCTTCTGTAAATTACCCCAGTGTGCTGATTTAGAGCATTGCTACATGACATAACGAGCTTATATTGCTCTTAATGTATTCTTCTACCACACATCATCCTAAAGTGCAAAGCGTGACTCTTTTTCCAGGAATGCTAATTATAGTCGCGAAGAATGAGAGCGGATCATACAACACTTTTATACAATCAGCGATAAAGCACAAACAGATACACCTGAAAGTGGGTGAAAAGCTGCGCTCGCTTGATGCCGAGGACGTAGAGCCAGCGCTGCATTATGCTGCACTGAGCTCTGTGCCAGCTGCAGCCCAGTGTAATAAAAGACATTTCATCCATATTCCCCAGTCAGACTATTTTAGTGCTAACTTGACACACACACACACACACACACACACACACACACACACACACACACACACACATATGAACACACAGAGTCGGAGAGAGACTGGCTACCCTATTATGTCTATAATTCACAAACTGATGTAATATTCTTCCAGTTGGTTGTCATATTGTGAAAGAATGGACCTGATGCAACTGTGGTGACGGGAAAGGCAAAAAAAAAACTACCCAATGCTGCCGTTTATAAAACCAAAGGCCAGAGAGGGAAGAGGCTAAATGCCCAAAGCTACTCTGTTTTAAGTGGCGCTAATTCAATTATCTTGGGGTGTGACTGAACGCCAAAGCCTCTTCCGTCCGCATGGAATTACTAAACACGTGCTCGCACTATCGGGCACCATCCTCCTAATGGCAGAAACGATTACACCTCTTGCGCGCTAAGTCGAGCATCCTCTACTGCTCCACTGTGTCAGGTATTCCAGGAAAAACATGGCAGCCATGTTGTGAACGGGGGCTGAGGGAGTTGTTTCCAGGACGGTGAAAGCAAATGTGTGTGTGTATGTGTGTGCGTGAGGGATGGATGGATGGCAGTTGCTCATAATCCTGCCCATAACACTCCCCCTCAGGCGACGTTGAGCAAGGTATCCCCCCCCCCCCCTCCCCTCCATTCCTCCCTCCTCCTCTACCACCAACCCTCCATGGCCAGACGGAGCGAGAGTCTCAGACGTTTTAATTATTCACCAGGTGAGGATGACTCACGGTGGCTGAACAGCGTTTAGAAGGAGGCAGAAGAGGAGGAGGAAGAGGATGGGAAGTGGAGGATGGGGATGAGAAGGGGAGAAGAAGAGGAGAGCAGAGCCGGCACGGCGGCGGAGGAAGAGCGGAAACGATGGGAGGAGGAGGAGGAGAAGCAGTTTAGATGATCGGTCTGCTTGCTGTTGAGGGGTCTGGGGAGTGCGGCGATGGGTTATCTTAGGTCAGACGAAAGACATTTCTTATGGCTGATGTGGGAGTTTGTGGATGTGTGAGTTTGTCCAAGGATATTTTTTTTTTTTTTTTACCCTTTCTTTTTCTGCTGTCTGGTTTTTCAGACACACAAGTTAAAATTCCAGTCATTTCTTCGAACACTGGCTGTGGAGCTACAGCTAGCATATGCAACAGGATCTTACATAATTTCTGTTTAAAAAAAAAAAAAAAACCTAATCTTATGTAATTCGCACAGTAGGCTCAGAGCAACATAATAAACCAGAATGTGCCTATGGCTGATGCATTTGTTCAGAAAATATACTCTAATCTTCCATGTGCCTGCAAAGTTTCACTTAACACAGACTATTTTCTTGCTGCTGTACTATTTACTGACTTACTGTCATGTCTCACAGCCAAGCAGCAGAGAAACATTATGTCAATATGTTATATAAGAAGCAAAGCCTACAGCAGAACTCCCAGACAGACTTACATATAACATCTCAACAAAATCATTTATCAGATTAAGAATAAAGGAAACAGATTGGTATCAAGCGAAGTGAACAGTGTGGCAGCCAGAGACGAGATAATCGCATGAAACTTGTCGCTGTTTTGTTGTAAACGCGTTTGTGCACTGTCATCAAATCTAGACTGTTATCTAACTCCCTCGACTAAGACAGCAATAAGGGCCTTCTTTAGTCTGCGTTTGCTAAAAATACATGTTTACTATAAACAGTGCTGTTATTCTAATTAATGCGGACTGCAGCGTCTGTCAATATTCAGTTAAATTATAAGGCTGGTGTTATTCTGTATTTCCCTATTGTCAACAAAGACAAATAAAGACCTTAGTCTGTCCTTGATTATTGCCTGATTCCCTGACTTATCTGTGGTGGTGAGTTTCTACTGAAGATGTGAAGTAAATCCTTTTTTAAAAAAAGGCTCTAAATCAGCTGAACAGTTTCTCACGAACCTTGCTTAAACTGGAGCAAATGGTGCATTTGTTGGGGACTATTTTCAGGTGTGGATTGATACACATTTGGTGCAATAGCGAAGATTTATAGCAGCCAGTGCCCAGGTTCATCAAAAAAAAAAAGAAAAATGGAGCTCTAAAATGTATCAGGCTTTGGAAATAAGTGTTGGTAGGATCAATTCATTTTTGGTGTTTTTATGAGATTTGTTGACAATAAAAAAAAAAGCTGCATATCATCTTCCTTATCCTTTAAATTACTGATCAATTGCAGCGCTCAAATTCATTTCTATGACTTATTATTCATGTTCCTCCCCTGTGAGTGAGTATATATGAGAGTAATAAACCCTCCACTGGAGTAGAAAATATATTTAACAGCCAAAAGCTACAACCATCAGCTAAAACAAGGCCTGCTCTGTCTGTGTATGTGAGCAGAGGTAGAAAGACAGGGAGGGAGGGAGGGACAGAGAGCGACAAAGACAAAGAGAGGGAAAGTAAAGATAAACGAAGGAGAAAATGTGTGAGCAGTGTACAGTTATGTGAGAGAGTTTGCGGTGAATAGATAAGGTGGGTGGTAAATCTTAGAGGTAGGCAGGCAGGAGCACAAGAAGGTCCATTACAGTCTGACTCACTCTCCTCAAAACAGCAGCGCAGCTCGGGCCCCCGATGGCCGGCATCAAAAGAAAAAGCTTCGACTGAACCAACCAGAAAGAGAGAGAGAGAGAGAGAGAGAGAGAAAGAGAGAGAGAGAGATGCATCTGTCAGCTGGTTACCATCTGACCAACAAATAACCAGCAGTCCTCTTCTTCTCTAGTTCCTCTTCTAGTCTGCACCCAGCAAACAGCCAACAAGCCCCCCCCCCTTTTGTGATGCACAGTGAGTCAAAAATATTTGTGCTTTCTGAGGCACGAGTGGCAAGCAATAATGGAACAAATGCAAACAAATAGGTAACAGAAAACAGATTCATCCATCTGTCATGTTTTTTTTTTCTTTGTTACTTAAATGTCCTTGCAATGAGGAAATGACATGATGCAATATCTTGTGTGAAACTGGAGATTTTGGTGCAGAATCAAAGGAAATCAGTGCGGTTCATCATACTGAATACCTATCATACATCTAATGGCAATCCAGCCATCGGATGGGCTGGTAATGAGGGTGGTGCTTGAGAAAAGCTCATGGGGAAATGGAAAAGGTTCTGAGGAGCCTGAATGAGGTCCATAAATTTCATTCAAGTAGATCACTAGTTATCTTGTTCTGGACCAAGTGTTGTAAACATACAGCCAATCAAGTCACCAACTAATCTTTTATTCAACGATTCCCTACCTACAAGTCTTTTACCTCAAATTTCAGGAATAAAGCCACTTGGAATTTCGTCGTCGTGTGATCTGCAGGGAAAATCCCCGCTCATCAAGTCGCTTGCATCCACGTCCTGTCTCCCTCTGTCTCGTTTTCTGTCTCTCCTGGAGAAACCGCAGGAGCAGTGCACTCAGGGAGGCTCTGACACTGATCCGAGGAGGCAGAAAGCATGCTAGGACGCAGTCGGATGGCTTGTAAACACACTTGGCTGCCCTTAGAGGACGAAGGGGTTGAAACAAGTGGCTCTGGCAGCAACAGTGAAGCTTTGTGAGGAACTAGCTCTTCGCCTTCCCTCTTCTCTGTCTTTTCTCTCTCCTCCTCTGTCTATCTCCATCTCTCTCCTTACCTTTGTCTTTCTCTCTAACGCTCCCTCGCCCCCTGCATTTGTGGCAGGGGAATCACGTCGCGGCTCAGTCGAGCGCTCTCTCAGCTAAAAGTGCGAGTCTTTAACATGTGTTTAAAATACACAGGGACGCATATTTGTGTTCGCTTGGATGACACAGGGCTGCCATTACGGTGCTCATTACTGGCTAAGTGACAGAGGAAGAAGGGCGAGGGGACACATAATGTTGTGACATTAGGCCATTTGGCCATTTGGCGAGGAGGCTGAGGAGGCGCTCGCTGTGTGCGAGACATGAACAGTGTGCAGTGGAGCGCGCACTGACTCTGAATGTTAAGCACTGAGACAAATTTTTAGCTTAGTGGTGACACAACCTGACAAAACGCTCTTTGTGCATTCCCTCAGTCTCTCTCACTCCTCTGTCACACACACACACACACACACACACACACACACACACACGATACAGCAGCTGACATCCTCCAGCGTCCAGCACCAACGGCTCAGCGGCACCACTGCTCTGATACGAGAGCGTATCCATACAGAACATGCAGACATTTGCATCTGAAACCCATTTCCTTCAAACTTCGAATCAACCATCACTGACTCTCATTTGGGTTTTGAAAATAACTCGCTCGTCATGCAGCTTTGCCTTGCGACGCTCAGCTGCTTTGTGCTGTTTGTGGATGAAACACAGAACAGTGTCCTATTGTTCACTTCTGAACTGTGTCTGATGTGAAGCGACTGAATAATCGCAGCCCCTCAGCCTGAAACAAAACAGCTTTTTGGCAACTAAAGTGAGAGTAAATGATGGTTGAATGTTTTTTTTTTCACCTGTCTACACACAGGGTCATACCGAACTTCTTGTGTCCATCACCACAGAACAACATCTCCTGCTGCAGACAGCTCTTTCTTTTTTAATGGTTTTTTTTTTTTTTTCCAAGACCGAATTCATTATTTGTGGTGTCCTGGTGGCCTCGGGGTTTAAGACGCTGAGCACACAGTACAGCTGGGGGAAACCTTTGTTGCATGTCATCCACCATGAAATACTTAATTTTTTAGTGCATATTGACAATGAAAGTAGAGCCGGACAGGAAACACAGAGAGAGTAAAGATCCCTGTCTGAGATTGAATGAGGGACATTGTGATGCATGTGTGATTGCATCTTAACCAGTAGGCAACCAGGACGCCCACAACTCTTGATATTTTTGGCTGCATTTTTTTCTTCTTTATTATTCTACTACAACATGTCCTTTAAACCGTGAAGCTGTATCTGAACCATCCCTCTGTTATGTATTCATGTCTTTATCTTGTAATGCATTTATGCTAATGTCAGTGACAGAGAGACGTGTCTGTCCCGTGTGCGGCTCACATGGCACAGAGACACTACAGCATCACTCAGCGGAGGCAGCTCTGTGAGCACCTCACAGCTTTCAGTGGACATGAGTGTGTGTGTGTGTGTGTGTGTGTGTGTGTGTGTGTGTGCTCTGTCTTCCGTGTCGCTCACCTCTCAGGTCCTGCCCGGAGCGACCCGGCCCGCAGGTGGTGCTCTGTCTGGGCATGCGCAGCGAGGTGCGTAATGGAGTGTGTCTCTGCTCATCCAGGTATGCCAGGTCCTCCAGGTGGGCTGAACTGGTAGCTGTAGTTATGTGTGTGTGTGTGTGTGTGTGTGTGTGTGTGAGAGAGAGATGGAGAGAGGGAGACAGAGGGGGGAACAAGCGGGATGTTTCAGAAAAAGAGGACAAAAAAGATACTATTGTCAGCATGCATGTTCATTGTGAGACACACATAGTAAATAAGCCCATAATACACACACATAAAAAGATGGCGGCAGTGGTTCGTGCCAGTTCCTGAGGCCATTGTCAGGCTCCCGCTCTCATACTTACTAACTCCTACAGGAGAGAGCAAGCCAGCCCTACATGGTTCTGTCCTAAAATTCCCTCCTCTCAGTGTCTGTCACGCGGCACGGAGGCAGATGCCATCCGACCCCTCTCAGGATTAATTAGCTCAGCAGACAAATGTCTTATTCATGGAGTGAGTGCCGTCTGACGCCGGCTGCCGAGTGTTCGCACCACGCTGTGTCTTCGGGGCCAACGCTCAAAACCAGTGACTGTTAAATGAGATCAGACGTCACCAGTGTGAGTAAACAGGCGGACTTGATTCCCCCGTCGCACCTGCACCCCCCGCGGCTCAGTTAGAGGTGAAGGGAGCGAAAGGAATGAGCCTCAACAATAAAGTCCGGGAGCGATTAACGGTCTGAACCGTCCAGAGGCTGGAGGTTCCTTGATGGCTGCTGAGTCACCGCATCAAGAGGAGACACTGTCATCAACTGAGACAGGGGGTTATGTGGGTTATCACTTAAGAAAGCAGCAGAGTTCGACAGAAAAACAGACACATTACAGAAACATAATTAACCACAAAATTGTACTTTGTGGAGTCTGGAAACTTCTTCAGTGTTATTTAAGGAATAATCCTGTTTGTTTTTCAGCTTGATTGAACTGATTGTCATAGCTGCGGCCATCACTTCCATCTGTTATGACAACACTTTATTGACTGTGGTAATCTCTGAGATCGGGGGGAACACAGCGACATCACTATAACAGAGTCCCACGGGGACAGACGCAGGTGAGCAGACAGGTTTGAAACAAGCCGACCGTGACTTTTATTTGGATGTAAACCACGAAAGTGAGTGCACCTGAAATGTCAGTAATAACGCTTCAAAGCACACGGAAACCAGGAAGTTGGTCTGTAAACCGTGATAGGTGTTTACAACAGAGAGTTTGGGTAATAATTTTACAATTTACCATCATTTTCACTCCCAAATAAATCTGACGAGAGGGGAGGTTTGTTTAAAAGCTGTCTGATCCTCTGGCTGCTTCTGCTTCTGCTTCCTGCCCCATTTGACTAATGTGTTCCCACATCTTGGCAATTACCTCGGTGAGTACCATGTTTTTATGGTTGACGGGACAGACGGACAAAGCAACGAAAACAGAATCCAACTTGCAATAAGCTGAATTTCTCCTTTGCTATTAATAATTTCAAATTAAAGTATCTATTTATATCAGAGCTGGTAATCCCTTTTCTCTAACACTATACCTGAAACGCTCTGAGGTCCAGAGATCCCGAGTCAAATTCGAGCAGTTGGAGAAAGGTGTAACTGGCAAAGCATTGCTTCCTCTCAGTCTCTCTCTCTCCAGGCTTTCCAAAAAGCACAAGGCACAATAATCCCTCCAAGTGGCAGGCGTCTGAGCCCAGCACCTCTCGCCGGTGTGAAACTCACCGGCACGTCATCACTGATCCTGTACTGTCCTCGGTTCATGGAGTGGTTTCTGTGTCGCCGGAGTTAAGCTCAGTGAAGTACTAAGCATGTGTATGGCTGTGTACGCTGCTGACTCAACCCAACCGTGGACCCAAAAATGAGCCACATGGGTTTCCCAAAATGGAGGGAAAATGGCAGCTGAGAATGCTGGAGGCTTGGCCCTGATGGGAATGGGGGCGCTGGTCATCCAACTGGGCTAAAAGTGGAGACAGTGGAGGCATTAATCTGCCACTACACCAAGGAGGAATGACTCAGGGCCAGTGAGCTGAAAAGTTTCCCTTTTCTTTTCTTCTTTTTTCAACTGTGTTTGAATGTGAAGACTCAAATCTGTGTGCTCATCATCTCTATCTGCAATGCAGCAGGCTGCTGGTGATCACATTCACAGTTCCTGTGCCAATGCGCTAAGGCTGCACACATAGTGAAAAGAAATAAAGGATGGAGAGTGCGAAATAAAAAATGGAGAGTGAGTGGACAGAGTAAGAAAGAGAAAGTGAGAAAAAGTCCAACTGTGCGGCAGAGAGCTCAGCTGCTTTGGGCAATGACAGCCACATCAGACACTTCCTGTTTGAACGAGTGACTGATAGCATGAACGCATCCATGCGCGCACACACACGTACAAATACACACACACACACAAACACACACACACACTGAAAGACCAGCTGGGCTGCCGTCCAGAGCCAGTCACAGTATCAGCCGGGGAGCCGACTAGTCATCTCAGATATGAGGTGGCTGCTGGAGCTTTAAACGCCTCAGCATTCTCCTCACACCTCTCTGAGAGATAACCTGAGATGATAAATAATGGAGGTGCTTATATTTAAACAATAATATTTCCAGGAATTATATGAGTATATGAGCGGAGGTGGGACCAGGGACAAAAAGGAAATCAGGAAAAGATGCTAGAAAAGGAAATCAATGACACTTGTCCGCCCTCCAAATTGAAAAATGTCGTCTCGGGTGAGCCGTTATCTTCATTTAGTGAATTTAGAGACGATAGAGTGAGAATCTCGCAGTGTCTTTTATATCCCTTTCGTCTCTGTATGAGTAGGGAGGGGTCCCTCAATCCCCAGGCAGTTACGTAAGATGGTGCGTATACAGTATATCCATCAACATGGCAAGGTCTTAAAGGGTCACTTCACCCAAAATGACACAAAATTACTTGGTATTATTGGGGGTAGTTAGACGAAGTTTAAAGTTTAGCCACAGTAAACTACAGTACTTGTCTTTTGCCTGTATTAGCAGTAAAACGCTCAGATCAGTATCTCAAAACCTGGACAAACTAAACTAAAGTCTTTTTTTTCTAATTCGGGTGAATCAACCCTTTAAATCATTTTACTGTTAGGGGCAGCTTTTGATGGAATTTGGTCTGGCACATATTGTAATCTCAACCAGGTGTAAATGCAGTCTGTATATTGTCTCTGAACCTGAGACAATATACACCTTTGGCATTGCTTCCCTCAACCAGGGACAAACTGCTTTCTTTTTTGTTTTGTTTGTTTGTTTAAATGCAAAGGCTCGTGGCTCAAATGTCATTTTGTATCCAGATTTAAAGCATAAATGTTAACAGGGATTAAAAGTCAGGATATCATCTCAATATTTCTCTAACTTTAGCAAAAAAATATCTGGAGCACCCATTTCTCTTGCCATTTTTTAGGGATATTAGCAGTATCTGATCAAGGTAAGCCTCTGCTCTTCTTGTCCTCACTTGCTTACAATTTTTCACTGAATGAAAAAAAAAAAAGGGGCAGTAAAGACTTTAAATCCCGGCACCATGAAGGTAGAGAGGAAAGAAGTACTCTGTCTTGGTTACTCCTTCCTCCATATCCATCTTCAGCTCTACCAACGCACTGCCTTCATTAGGTAATAGAGTAGCCCCCTCCCGTCTCGCTCTCCTCCCCAGTCGCCTTCTGCTCTCGCTCTGTAGCTGTCTCCCTCTCTCTCTCTCTCTCCCTCTCTCTCTCTCCCTCTCTCCTCACATCAAAGCGAGTCTCTCTGTCACTCTGGGGGATAGAAACGGTTAATGCCTGGGGCTTTGATGTTCCACTGCTGTGTGAGCCCAGCCAATCCTCAGCCTGTGCTTGCCTCCCATCCCTACATCATCTAATAATTCTTTGTGGAGGAGAGAGAGAGAGAGAGAGAGAGAGAGAGAGAGAGAGAGAGAGAGAGAGAAAAAGAAAGAGAGAGAGATTATGAAACTCTCTTTCACTCCTCTTCCACATGTATCCATCTCCCTCTCCTCAATATGGAATTCCTGTTCCTGGCAAATATAAATGCTGTCAGAAAAGTCTTCTGTTTTTTTTTTTTATTCTATTTTTTTTTTTGAATCGCTCTCTCTCTCCCTCTTTATTTTATTTTTTGCATCATCTGCAGCTTATAGTACATTTTTTTCCTCCAGCTCCTTTGAAGGTCTGGGTATTGAAGGGCGGAGATGAGATTGAGGGTGAATCTCTAAACCCGGCGGAGTCGCTGCACCGCCAGACAGCAGTGTCAAACAGGAGAACATGACCAGCATAACGAGAAGGGTCATAGCTGCGGCGACGGCCCCTTGTCAGGCGTATTACTGTGTTTAGTGAAATATAAATGCGAGTCTACAGTACGTGCACGCGCACTCTTTTTTATTTTTTTTTTTCCAGTGGGAGTGGGAGAAGTGCATAATAGAGCTCATCGTCTATAACAGCCTCTCTGATGATGAGAACAATAGCACAATCAGGCCCATTAGGACTGCCTCAGTGTTATGAAACTAACATTTTTCCTGATATATTTACTGTTACTTTTGGGAGCCTTTTTTCAAGGCAGCTGTGGCCCACAATAACAAACACACATCAATGAGACCTCTGTCAGCAATACAAATGCCAGCTTTCCTATGTGATATTCTTCCAGCCGCAGTATGTTCTTCTGCTGAAGCTGGGTTTTTTTTTTTTTCCCAGACTGTATTATTCTGCTCTGTGGTTTCACTCCACACCAGAGGGGCTGAGAGTTTAACAAAAATACCACTGCGGATTTGCAGCTTGAAATTTCAACATAACCCCAATGAAATTTGAAAACAAAAGCTCTTTCCTGGCTAAATAGTTTTTTAAAAAGTGCTGTAAAAATTAAGGCAAATTGAATCAAAGAAAACCACAACTGAGTGCTTTTGAGAGCAGTTTCAGATTTGAGGAAGTTTAAGCTGATTTATCCCAGATTTGCAGGCGAAATGTCATCTGGAGGTTTGGGATCTGTACAGATTTTTGTTCACAGTAATACGAGCAGTTTACAGATTAAATGTTCGCCCAAACTTCTGGTTGACATCGCAGTATGTGATATTTTTCCTTAAAAATCTGGATGGTTAGATCGCTGCTATCCCCCATGCATGAGGCTGGACTTGCTCCTCCAAAACACAAATATATTCCTCTGCTCTTTTCAAAAATGTGTTTCATTGTTGGATTTGTGATCACAGGAGTCACACACACACACACACACACACACACACACACACACACACAAACACACACACACACACACACACACACACGGACAGTTCATCTGGGAAGAAAAGAGGCAAGGACAGAGAGCTTAAAAGGAGTGAAGCGGGAGCGCTAAAGGATTCAGAAATAGGGTGTAACATGACTGAACATGCAGCTCAATCCAATTTTGCCAGAGAAAAGTACTCCGTTTAAATAGCGTTTGTGTACTGCATGCTGTTAAATAACCCTATTTCTGGCCCCCCATCGCCTCCTTTTCTACTTTCATAGGAGAGGCAGGGAACGAGGAAGGGACTCACCAGCCACAGAGTTAGGACGGGGCATGAGGTACAGAGGGATGGAGTGGGCAGAGTGGGAGGACATGCTCTCCAGGTTGCGCTCAGGGATTTTGTTGAGGCTGTAGGTGGAGGCTGTCATGTTTTCATCCACCCTGTACAGGAACGAGTCCATGCCTGATTTCTGGGACTGCCACAGTTTGAGGTTTGCCCGGGAGCCTTCGCCGTATTTGCCGCCTCGCTCCATGTTCTCGGAGTAGCTGGTCAGAGTGGCTGCAAAGAGAAAGAGGGACACCGTCGTCAGTGCTGTTACAACAGTACAGTATTTAACTTGCTGCTGTCACACTTTTCACCCTGCGTGTGTTTAAATTTAACTCCCCTCTCTTCACCTCACCCGACCTGTCTGCTGTTACACTTATTTACTGTTGTTCTGAATCAATCCGAGGCTTGTTGATGTAACGCTTTTTCCTCGTCAAACCGCAGGCGCTCACCACTGTTGCTGGGAAACGATGAATACACCTGTCTTGACATACGCAAAGTGCTCAATTTCACTGAGCATTTTTATCTCTCCCGTTTTCTTGCTAACAATCCAAGAATGCCACAGTTGATGTCAGCATGACATGCACACTTCAATTGTCTTCCAGCGGGAGTACACACTGGTTCTGTGTGTGAATGACAGGTACGACAGTTTGAACTGAAACTGATCACACACCAGGTGGAGTGGAGTCAGGTGAGGTCTCTGGTCCCCGTCCCCCGGGTTGGAGACAAAACATCCAGATTTTGAGTTGAACCACGTCCAGACTTCAATTAAACGACCACTGGAAACCAAGCTACAGCCTCAGGCATTTAAATCACCTGTTTCATAGACTTGTCTTTATTTGGTTCCAAACTTTCGGGTTGAAAAAAAAAAAAAAAAAATCAATCTGAAAAATCCGATATCAATTCATAAAATTCTGAGATCGATCTTTTGATATGCATTTACAGCCTCCTGCGGATAAGTGAAGCTGTAACCTCATTAGTCTCACATGACCGCCCTTCTTGCGCATCAACATCTGGTCACGTGAGAGACAGAAACATGGCAGATACAGCTCCACTGATGGTGCCGCCAAGTCTAACAGCAGATGAGTGGCTGCATTTCAGATTTAAAAACTATGAAGATAGTGACGAGCTGGACAAAGGCAAGAAGAAGCCGATAGAAGAAGAAGAAGCTGGCAGGTGCCACTTGTGCCAAGGCACGTTAGCAACGCACATAACTTCCCTACCTATTACTTTTTCAGATATGTGTCTAAACTGTTGGTCACGTTAAATTAAAAAGTGCATTAATGTAACTGCTTTGGATTCATTCTTAATGCTAGTTTTAAATAAAACAACAGCTGTCATGGTATTTAAAGTTCTCATTCCTTAAGAATCTTAAAGAAAAACTCTTTTGGTTTGTTCATGGAATATCTTGACAGTAAAATGAATATAGAATATCACCAAAGAACTGATCCCACTAACAGGAATTCACTACAGCACCAAATATATATAAATCTGCAACTGAAAATAGTCCCCAACTAATAAAATATTTACTCCTGTTTGAGCAATGTTTGCTAAAACCTACACTGACGAGCTGTTTAAAGAAATCACTGAGCCTTTTATCAAGAAGAATCTCTCTTTTTTTAGATTTACTGTGTGTCCTCTACAGTAGGTGCCACAGACAGTAAGGAGGTCAGAAAGTACAGACAAAGAGACTAAGACATTGTAGGTTTTGGTCTTTACAGGAGATTTGGTGACAAAAAAATATACAAAGTACTATGTGTTTTACATGCATGCATGTTTGTCAGGTCTGTAAATCTGTGTCCAGATCTCACCGATGATCCCGCTGTCCCTGCTCTCCAGGGTTGAGGTGGGACTGGTGACAGAACCGTAGGCACAGTCCTTGTTGCCTGCCTGGCCAGGCATGGCAGGGGGGAGGGTGGAGCAGGGGCTGCCTGCAGGGGGGGAGGCAGTGCTGCTGGTCAGGGTGGAGCACGGGCTGATCCTCTGGTTCTGGCCCTGGGACAGACACGCACACACGCATCTTTAAAAGCTTTGCTCGGTTCCTACAGTTCAATTGGTACACATGGGTATAAATGGCAAAGTACAATGTTTGAACTTTTAATGTCTGAGTCATATACAAAGGAAAATGTCACTTCAATATTAGTTTTCAAAAGCTCAGCCCTCCTGCTGCCTTCGCCACATGCAGGCAGTCTCTCCCCCACACAATCAAAAACAGCATAATAATCATAATATCTCATCATTTGTGGCATTTTTATGAAATATAAGTTTGAAAGATCTTCACAAATGAGACAACACTGCACAGCTGAAGAAAAACACAAACATACTTAGACATACAACAAACACTCAACAACTACTAAAACCACCTGTAACATTCAGTCACTTTACAAATATACATTAGTGTGCAGTATTTTTTTCTGATTCTGACGAATATCAGCAGAACAAACCGAATGCTGGAGAGCTAGTATAGCCTACACACATCAGGGATGTGACCCAGAGCATGTAAATGCAGGAAAACAGTAATTTCCCCTTTTACAGAGGAAAACAGGAGTGGCATTTCCAAAATCAGATTCTGCACAGTCCCATGGCACATGTGTGAATTTATAAATATGTGGGGAGTTTTAAGCACTAGTACAACTTTAAAGGTTTCATATTGTAAAAAGGTAGATTTTCATGTGTTTTTTGATCATACAGCAGGTCTAGGTTCTATATTAATACTGTGAAAGTATCAAAGCGCTCAGTCCACAGAGAAATGCACACAGCCTGTATTCAGAAACTGAGCCTTATCACGAGCTGTCAGGACTTTGTGATGTCACAACAAAACAGTTACCGCTCTCAGCCGTGCCCCAAGCCCCGCCCACCTGATTCCACCATCCAACCTTGCAGGACTTGGTTTCTCTGAGTTTTTATATTTCTATTAGATATCTCAGAAAACAGTCAGCCAATCAGAAGAGCCTCCTCTCTTCTGATTGGCTCAACGACCTGTTGTTGCTAGAGAGAGAGAAGCCTGAGAGAGGAGATGTAAAACCACAAATGTATCTTCTTGTGGATATTAAACCTTCAAATAAAACACTGGAAGTGTAAACTATTGGATTTTATAATCAATAAATAACATGATTTATTGAAAATAGTTTCAGTATTTTGTCCTAACTGACAGCCCTATTTTTATGCATATTTTTCTCTTGATTGCCATGACTACAATTGAGTTAAATAAAAAAAAAAGAAGGTAAAACTGAACTCTCATACACGCTGAATGCATGTTCCTTCCAGTCGCAGCATTGTTTTGGCACCCCGCAGTGACCCTCTTCTGCATCAGTTCAGGTTAGAAGACAAGAGACCACAGGGGACAAAACAAAAACACGGCTGCGTCTAATCTGCTGCTGCGAACACCCACAGATGCACTCTCACACAAACACACAGGCACACATACTAAAAAGATCCATGCATGCAGCATCCACTGATGTATACAAAGGCACAAGAGAAACAGGGATGCCAAGTGATTAAATATGTGTGTCAGACACCGAAACACACAAACACCCGGAGGTCTCTCCTTAACGCTGCTGTTGATGAGTTCGGGTCGGGGCAAACACAGAGAGAGAACGGGAGGGGTGGAAGTCGTGCTCAGGGGAAAATCTAGTGTAGGTTAATCTGCAGGGACACTGTGCTGATACACGCACCCATACATGTTTACAGACAGGCTACAGAGTTGTAACGAATGATTCTTTTCAGCATTGATTGATCCGTCAGTTATCTGTTTGGGCGGCTGTGGCTCAGGAGATTGAACAGGTCGTCAGTTAATCACAGGTTGATCCCAGCTCCTCTTGCCCTCATGTCAAAGTGTCCTTGAGTGAGACAACCAATCCACAATTGATCCAGACTGGCCAAGCCCGCATGGCTCCACTATACAGTGGCTGAGACCACTTGTTGGTGGGGGGTGGGGTGGGGTGGGGGGGGAGGATAAGGGAGGTTTTTTTCTTTTTGTATAAAAAGCACTACATTAATGCAGATAGATCATTTCCTTTTTATTTTTGCGAATAATTCCGATTAATCATTCAATAACTTCATCAATAAAATGCCAGAAAATAGAAACTTTGAACTGAACAAAGGAGGAAATGAGAAGCTAGAACCAGGAAACATCAACAGCAACATTTTTGCTTCATAAATGATCAAGCAGGAAGACAGGGCTGAAAGCTAATCTTCAAGCTTACATTCTCACAATGACAATGCTACCACACTGGTGTTTAGCAGGTATGTTAATTTAACTGTACATTTACTATGGAGGTCGTAGTTTGCATTGGGATTGAACTGGATGGCATAATATTGAGGTGTTTCTAATGTTTTTCCCAGCAAACACGAGGGGGGAAGAATATTAGAAACACGTTTCAATGTAATGCAGCCCAGTACTACACCACCACCAGCTACGACCTCAGTAATAAGTGAACACCTCTCAGAAACAGGAAAGCTGTGTAAAGGGAGAATATATGGCAGAGCTGCACTGGATTGCACTAGATTCTTTAGTTGTATCTGATAAAGTGGCCAGTGAGCGTATGTCGCACAGTACAACTGGCTTTAGTGGCTGAATTATAAACTGTGACACATGTAAACTAATCAACACGCTGTCCATTATGGCACATGGCCTCCGAGCTCTGCCAAGGGCGTGTACAACTGATTGAGTGAGAGAGGGAGAAACCGTTCTTCAGGCCCTTTCAGTCACTGCTAACCTCTGCCCTCGTCATGGATGGCACCGCTCATGTGTCATGTTTACAGGAGCTTTGACCCAGACACAAAACAAACACACACACACACACACACACACACACACACACACACACACACGCGTGCGGATACACAGATAAACCTCTGGAGCTCGACGAGGCCACGGCGTTGCCGCGGCTGTATCTGCTGCGGTAATGAACCTCGCCTTGTGCAGGTCTGACCTTAAATGCCACACGGGGATTGGATTGAACTTGGAGCGTTGCGTCTATTCAGGGAGCGAGAGCACGAGAGTATGAAAGGCAATTAACTGCACTCTCCGCGAGTTAAGGTCACCTTGTTCCATCAGCTGGTGAGGTCTTGCAGCAAAGACATCGGCTATTGTAGGAATTTAACCATCTCTAATGGGGGTCGGGAGATATGATGTGGTCACTATTTCTTTTTTAAGTATGTTGTTATGTGCCTGGCTTCACTGTTGGTTAACTGCAGTAACTTGGTCATGATGACAAAGATTAAGACTTTCAGCATCACTGCTGCATTAGCAATATGTGACTCTACTGTAGTACTGTAATATCTGCTGTCCATTGAAAGCTAGTAAATTCCAAGTAAATAAGAAAAACTACGGCAAAAGCCTGCTCTCTTATTTTGCTAATAGATGGTGTCTGAAGGCAAGCCTCGTCATTCTTGGTGGTTAATGAATCAAATGAAAATTGCAATCTGGAGAACAGTATTTGAGGCAGATATCTAGCATAATAAGTTTCTGCTGTGTGCACGATGCAACAGGGTGCTAGTATGAGTCACGTCTCTAAAAAGAGCCGCTTGAATAAACCTCTCTCAATTTATACACCCCCACTGCTACAGCAGCGCTCACATCAAGCGCAGGCAGGCCATCAGTCTAATCGCTTATCCACACTGCTTTAGTGCAAACCCATACCTCGGCCTGCTTGAAATGCTTCAGCAACAGGTTCGCCCCCTTTTCCCCTCCCTGTTTTCTCACTCTCGCTCTCGCTCTCTCCCACCGCAACTGTTTTTCTCCCCTGGCTTGGAAAATTCATACCCGTCAAATCAGGTTTAGGTAGAGAAACCAGGGCATCTGCTACAGAGCTTAGAGCAGGCCCGTTGTGCCAGGAGCTGTTTTGTTGCACAACTGCCAGATTCACGAACAGAAAGGTTACCGTGCAGGAGAGAAACATCGCGCCTGACCTGCCTCACGTCAACCCCCCAGAAACTTGTGTTCAATAAGCACATTTTTAAAGCGCTCTGGGAAATAAATAGTTAAAGAGTTTTTGTTATATAAAAATCTAATTAGACGGGGAGATATCTGATGTTTGATGGAGAGGTGCAGATAAATTCCTGAAGCCAACGCACCGTGGTGTCTGAGGGCAATTTACAGAGAAGTCTTTTCATCTGGCTTCTAAACATCTGTCAAGTCCGAGTGTAAACAAGGATATTATGGAGATAAATGTCAAAACAGATCGAATCAGACGATTGCCTGTTTATTCAACAACAATCGCTCACAATTGAAATGTGTCAGAATCACATACACAATATTAGACTAGGATAAAGCATATCAATAGCAAGTTTTTTTTGGCACCAATTCTTTATCTTACTCAACCCGAGACAATTGACTCAGACTGACCAGAAATCCAGACAAGAATGAATCTGCCTGTCCTGTCCTCAAAGCAGTTTTGGTTATTGGGGGTGGGGGGGTGGGGGGGTGTGCCCAGTTCAATAGCGAGACTATTACCTGTCTTGCCTCGGGTTCCTCCATGCTGTACTGGGTGCCGGCTGGCCCCTCACTCACTTTGTCTCCCAGAAGGAAACCCAGGCGCGTCATCAATGTGTTGGCTGCCTCATCCACCGACGGAGGGGGGCCCAGCTCCTGGCTTGACTCCCCTGCAGAGGCAGAGAGATGTAGGAGGGAGGAGGAGGAGGAGGAGGAGGAGGTGGTGGTGGTGGTGGAGGAAGGAGGTAGGGGAGAGAGAAGACAAGAGAGGACGGCACAGAAGAGAGAGAGGAAAGAGAGAGAGAGAGAGAGAGAAAGAATGTGTGTCAGCGGTGGGCAAAAACAGTACAGCGCCTTTTTAGCTCTTTTCATAAAAATAAAAAACAAAACATCCTTTTAATACGTCAGTTTCAAGTCCTCTTTAGCTGGAAATTCTAAACACACAGTATCTGCTGCGCTTGTTTCTGGCATAAACCAGAGCAGCGACAACAGACCCGCACACAGGATACACAGAGCAGCTCGTTCAGGACAACGAAATGAAACACCCTACCTGAGTTTTGCCGTAGCATTAAAGACACATTCCTCCACTGCTGGACATTTTTGGTTGAAGTGTCTTCTTACATAAACTCCACACAAAATCCCCTCAGCCACAACTTACAATAATCCTTTCAGAGTGTTTACAAAAAAAAAAACCCCTCTCCACGCCGACTAACAAAAGCCTACCACACTGACGACAACTCCTTCCGCACCACTCATCACCACTGCAGCTTGTGTGACGTAATGAGATACGCCCTTCACCTGTGAGTGTGTGTGTGTGTGTGTGAGTGTGAGAGAGAGAGAGAGAGAGAGAGAGAGAGAGAGAGAGAGAGAGACTGTGTGACTTTTCAAGACAAAGTGGGTGTGTATCCACCTCTCTATCCTGTTTACACAAGACTGCTAGTGCTAAAGAGAGAAAAGAAAACACCAGGGTGAGCCTGCGGGATGATCAGATGATCAAAAATCTCACTCTCACACTCACACTCACACTCACACACACACACACACACACACCACACACACACACACACACACACACACACACACACACACACACACACACACACACACGCACACACACACACACACACACGTAGAGCTGAGGGATTTCATTTGCTAACTTTGCACCAGGACCCAAAACAAAAAATCCCTTAATGACCTCATCTTCTCGCCCAGTTGCCTGGTTACTCTCTACCCATAACAAACCGTCATCGGTGGTGTCATGTTATTCAATAACACCTGAATATAATACCCTAGAGGTGCCTACTATATCAATTTCAATTCGATTCCACTTTATTCACCAGAGTGTGACTCTCAGGGCTGAAGCTTTCACTAATTACTCTCCCTGCTGGTTGTAAAAAGAGTAACTACTGGCTGAATACAAACAGCTGTAATTGGATGTATAAACCTCTGAATTGGCCCGGACATTAAGGACACTGAAGCCAACACAACGAGATTGCCGGTGTTTAAATAAACAGCGGCGAGACAGAGACAGAGAGCGGCAGGACCAGTTTTCCCTCTCCTCACCTCTCCTCGCTCGTTTTCCTGCAGGGCAGGTCGGACAGGACTGGCAGGTAGCTGCGCCAAGTCCCGACTGACGAACCATTAGACGGTCCCTGCCGCCACGTCACCTCTCTGAAGACAGACAGCTTGTCTAAAAAGCCTGTAGCCTCTCGCAAGTCTATTCAAAGACCTACAGACAGGCGATCTAAAGCCCGGGCTCCCCTCTGCATTCGCTCACGGACAGAAAAGGCGAGGCACGACTGTCAGGATCCTCATTAGATTTACTCCAACTCTCTCTGAGTGAGTAAGGAAGACGGGCATCTTCAAAGGGGAGGGGAAAAAAGCTTTGAAGCAAATGGAGATGACATATCGCTGTGCCTCAATAAAAAAAAAAACACACAGAGCAGCAACCAATAATGAGGTAATCACAGCACATTAGGTCCAAAACAGCTAATTACGTATGAGCTCTGATGAGATTGATATGGCTGCTCAGTAATGCAGCTGGATACACTTTATATGGAGCAGAATACATTTATGAGGGCCTCCAAGGTCACTGAATCCCAGAGCGCTCCTGGAGGAAGAGCGCAGTAATGGAGAGGATGAAGGTAGATGGAGTTTACTCGTCCGCCTCCTTTCAGCCAATATCACAGGGAACAGCTGACATGCACACGGCCATCGAGGAGGGAAAATTGCAGGCAAAACCGAAGCAAAAACATCTGTCCACTGAGCCTCATGTATGTGTTCCGTGTGTGATAGCTGCAGCGTGTGTGTGCCTGTGTGTCTGGACATGGAGGCAGCGAAGGCTTCCCAGTTGACAGACTGGTAGTAGTAAGCAGTGAATACATTAGCACTGATTAGTCAACTGCTCCTGGGGGGTTTTTGCGGCCGTGACCGTGATCAAACAGGGGCTCTGTCTGTCTCTTTGCTGCCTCCGTGTGAGGGTTTGTCTACATCCCTTTCACTCATCTCTTTGTCTCTGCTGGTGCTGTATCTGTTTTAGTTCCTGTCTCCCTCCCTTCCTTTTTTGTTTTTTTCTTTTTAAGTTTTTTTTCTGCTTCTTACTACTGCTTCTCTGTCGAAGCCAGCAGTTGGACAACCCTGTGCAGTGGCGAGCAGTTTGTCTGTGTTTCTTTTGATGTGGGAGTAAAATCTCTAATCTGGATGCTGGAGCCCACAGTCACTCCCTTGAGCTAAAGATAGGCTATCCCTTTGTACATCCTTAAACTGTCACACTCCAAAAAAAAAAAAAAACCTATAACACGGTCAAACAACACGGCTCAGACACAGCTGTTTGGGTGACTGCACTGTAATCATGAGGCTGTCAAACACAATCAAAACCTAAATGTTTGATAGGATGATATCTCAGCTCTTCTATTTCATCCACATCACCCACATCTGTTCCCAAGGTCCCATATTTTACACTTTTCCAGTGTTTTATTGTTAGTGTTTTACTTATCTTATCCACAAGTAGATATATTTGTAGTTTTAAGAACCAAAAACCACCTCAATGTAGTTCCACATTTCCTCTCTCAGGCTTCTCTCTGGAGCTGTAGTGACAACAGGTCAGTGAGCCAATCAGGAGAGAGGAGGCTCTGAGCCTCCCTAGTGTTTGTATGTTGTGACATCACAAAGTTCCAGAAGTCCTGATGGCTGGTTTTAAGGCTCAGTTTCTGAATACAGGCTGTGTGCATTTCTCTGTGGACTGAGTGCTTTGATACTTTCACAGTATTAATATAGAACCTAGACCTGCTTTATGATCAGAAAAGATATGGAAATCTCACTTTATAAAATATGGGACCTTTAAACCTTCCTCTGAATGTAACCAACACTAACAGTTACTATCAAAGGGAATACATATATTATCATAATGTATGTATTAATTTCTTTGTTTGAAGCTCTACTTTTTGTTCTTTAAATACAAATTAAGACTCTTACTGAAGTCACTATATCTAATCTTGCTTCAAAGTTTCATGTCAGCACTGAGAACATAACACCCGCTGGGAGAGGAACTCCAGGTGTTTCTCACCAACATGAGATCCTTAATGATCAAATTTGAATATAAGCTTAAATAATAATAATAAGCTTAAAACACATCTCTTATTGCTCTCTCTCTCTCTCTCTCACACACACACACACGGTCCTCTCCATTGGATTCCTGAGCTGCGAAGGAGACAGATGGTTGCCATAGCAACTATCTTTGCGCGCAGCTAGGAATGTGTTTCTGTGCAAGCGCATCTGTTTCTCCCCGGCCGTCCACAGATCTGCCCTCACGCACCGAGAGAGGGGAGAGGGAAGCATGTGTGCTGCAGGCAGGGGACTGGACAGGACAGGAGATGGTATTAATAGGCCTGGGCTGCAGGTAAGATCACACACACACACACTGTGTGGTGGTTTCCTGTTTCACCTATACCGGGGAATTTTAACTCCACAGAGAGAAAATACTCATTTACAAATGATGACAGGATCCCAAAAGCAACCCAACCGTATTTCTTAAACAGATAAAGAAGCAAAGTGAAGAATACTTCAAGAGGAGGTGACACACACACTGATCAGAAGGTGAAAATTAATTTTGCAGAATTGCTGTTGACAACTAAAGGAAGCGAAAACAAGGTAGAATCACACGTATTTTAGAGTTTCGGGTCAAAGGAAAATATGAATAACATTGAACATAAAAGCACAGATAGTGTTTGTACGCACAGGCTAAGGCATCATCAAGAAAACAGGGAGTAGAGGACTGATCAAGAGATGAGAGGAGTGAATTTCACATTCCTCATGTGCACAGTATTGATCTTATCTACACAACAACACGTAGATGTTTCAAATATAAAAGCATGCTAGGACTTAGGTCACCAGGTTTGGGTTAGGAGTGGGCGATATGCTGGTGTGTAATACAAGTAGGGACTTTACAAAAGAAACTTTCTGGCTATTGTGAGCAATGTTGCAAATCAATGAGCAGTACTGCGTTATGGTCGAAGAAGATATTTGATATGTCAGGTATTTCATTAACTAGAACAACCAAAAACACACATTATCTTGTTACTTCATCCATAAAGAGTGTCGTAATTGAATTTTCAGAAAATTAACTGTATCAAGAATCTTGAATATTAATCCTGAGGCTCTTTAAGCTACATTTTCTCTTTGGTCTTATAATTTTCTTCTTAATTATTTCTGTTATCTGGCATATTTTCATGTTTACGTTAACTGACTGTTGAATTGTAAACATTTGGCACTTGAAGGTAAGCTTATCTTAAGTGTTATAGTATAGTATTTTGTGTATCTTAATGTGTTTGTGATGGTTTTATCTGCCCTGTATAAGAGTCAAGCAGAAATGATGCACGTTTTTAAGCGTGTTTTCTTTTCCCCTCTACAGTACACTGTATATATCTGCTCTATAAATCACATGTGCAAACCAAAGGGGGGGGAATTCATATTATCATTTTTTCGGTCTCATGATGGCGCCCCATTACTTTTCCATTCGATCGCATACAGCCAATCAAATCTCAAACACCTGCAAATATCGCTTCTAAAATCATGGTGTGGGTTACTCTTCAACAACACTCACAACACACTGTCTGACCAGGGCTGTAAGTTACAGTACAAGTTTGTTTACTTTTAGTCTCATTCCCCTTCTGGTCTCTCAGCTGCTGTCCACGCTGACAGGAACAGCAACTTTTTTTTCTTTCTGTTATTAATTAATTAAAAAACCACTGACAAGAGGTTTAAAATCAAGATTATTACTAATAATTAATAGTAAGCAAAATAATAATAATGATAATAATAATAATAATAATAACAACAACATTCATAAAAATAATGTGATTTCAGTCAGACTTAACTCAAAGTTAAATCCACTATATATGGTTATTGTGATTGAGTGTGTCCACACCTAGCCTGTGTATGTACTGTAAGAAGGTTGAGCTCTACCATCATTAGAAAAGCTTTCACTCCATAATATATGGAGGATGGACGGTTGTGAATTTTACGAGCTATCTCACAAAATATTCACAAACCATATTTATGACCCCACAAATTTCTTTGTAGGCCATAAAAATCAGCTGATACCTGACTTCCTTCCAGGCAAACAGACAGTGTCAGCAGCAGAGTGTGGACTGGCATGTGATCAGATGTTTTAAGTCACTGCCCTGCTGCTACTCATGCCAGGGAGCTCTTGTTAAGAGCTCAGATGTCCATCTGTCCACCTGGGGAGGTGCGAGTCGTCACCCATGAAAACTCATCCCAGCCCTCCTGGTTCCTCTCCAGCTCGAGTTGTTATTGCACAGACAGACAGGAAGAGAATTCAAGAAGAATTCCTGTTTGTAATCAACTGTTTTCCTGCCTCAATGGCAGCAGAGATTACAATTTCAACCCTGATATGTCACATCTGCAGGAGCTCATCGCAACTGATAAGGTTATTCCACAGTCGATTTCACAGGGTTGATGCAAAGTAAAGCCAGGGTCAACAGTTTTTCCATCCATGAGATTCAACAGAAATCCAGGTGCTAAAGCTAGAGGTTTTATGCTAACGTACTGCATACTATCTAGTATCTGCATATTATCCATAAAAATATATTCATGCATGTCTCTATAGACAGATCACCTACTTAGAGCTCCCATTGAGCAGAGACTCAGCAGGAGAGGCTGGCAGACGGAGAAGGCTGGTAGCACCCTGTCCACCATTTTCCTCCTAAGTTACAACAGTCAAAGCCTGAGACCCATCAGTATTTCCCTTATGTCTTCATCCAACTGAGGGGTGTTGCAGCATTTGTCCTGCTCTGCTGAGAAGTCCACACAGCCACCAGAGGTCGAGCCAACAAGACACGTCGGGAAGCTTACACTGCGTTTCTCAGTGGCAACAGGAAGAGGAGAGGCGAGATGAGAAAGCAGATATACTAGAACCAAATCTCAGCAGAGCGCTATCCTCGAGTGACCTGCTTTACTGTCCTCCCTGGCAGGGGGGGGGGGCAAAAGGGTGAGAGAGGGGGTTTTGACAGGGATAGATGGGGGGGGGGGTTTGAGGGAAATCTAGACCGTCTGCAGGATTACAGAGCAACTGCCGACTGTGAACAGAAAACAGCGGCGGCTCCTAAACGAGCTCTGTGTCCGAGAAGCTGAGCAGAGTGAGAAAGCAGCGAGGGAGGATTAGAGAGACAGAGAGGGAGGAGGCGATGAGGACTGACACTGTGGGCACCAGCAAAGCTATTTCATCAATGACCTTAGCAATGTTTTCTTCTTTACAGCAGCCGGCACAATAACTGGAAAGAACTATACATTTTCCCCATCACTCTCCGCCTCTCTCTCTCTCTCTCTCTCTCTCTGCTGCATTTACAGACATGGAACATGCAAAAAAGTAACACAACGAAATGAGGGATGAGCTGGCCAAAAACTTACCAGGGCAGTATGTGTCCAGGTCTGGATTCTTGGCAGTGGTGGAGGTGTGTGTAGGGGAGCCAAGCTCTGATTGTGGAATGCGAGGGCTCTCCACAAACTTTGCTTTCCGCAGAGGGGCTGGGAGCAGAAAGCATACACACATATAGAGAAGGAGACAACACGTACACACACACACACACACAAACACACAGAAAAACACACACAAAGATCAGGGAGATGGAAGAAGACAATAAAGAGAGGAGCGACAGGGACAGGACAGACAGGGAGGAAGAAAGAGAGCTTACTTGAAGCGGCACACTGATAAAATGAACACATCCTGAAGGCTCTCTGAGGCAGCTTTGTATTTGCTTTGGGTCAAATAAAGCTAAAGCATGAGTAAACAAGCAGCGTGACCAATCAGGTAGTAGACTAGGGCCAACCAATACACCAGCAGAACCTCAACACACCACTGAAATCACCATATTTCCTCTGTATGGGCCTAGATTTACCTCGCAACGCTCGCAAAGCAGCAAACAACATGCACCTGAAAAGATGTTGTGCCTGTTTGTCCGATGACATAATCACACAAAGAATGCAAATGACCGCCATTTTGGGAATGTCCTCGCGCCTGAGTCGAGCACAACGTCTGAGACATGAAATGAGTCCCCCCCCCCCAACGTGAGGTTCAGAGAGAGAGAGACAGAGAGAGAGAGAGAGAGAGAGAGAGAGAGAGAGAGAGAGAGAGTGTGTCGGAAGCTGGGGGTGGTGGTGGCTGTGACACCATCTTTTTCTGGGTTCTTGGACGTGGTATAGGGAGTCAAAGTACCTGTTATCCAGACCCACTTATAGTATCGTGAGTGCATACATTGTAGCAGCAGTAGCTGCACTGCTGCTGTAGTAACTCCACTAGGCACAGTACAGACATCCATTCACAAAGCAGAGGAGAGGAGTCATTATACCGATGTTGTACACACACAAGAGAAGCCAAATAAAACCATTGGGAGTAATTCTTTAGTTAGTAACTTTGCAAGGATGATTGTGTTTGAAATATAACGCCACCATAAAGCTTCCTACACCCAGTCTGTTTGATTAACATCAAAATGCCAGGCTTGGTCGCACTGAGTATCTGGGTAATGGAGCCAAATAAAACTCCAGGAGTGACCACCTCAGCAAGAACCAGGACATAATTCTGATAAAGCTCTCACTCTCTTGTAATATCTACTGTGATGGAGTTATAACGCAGGCCCAATTGTGCAAAGACATTCAGCTAATATCAACTAAACCATGTGCAAGGCTCATTGGTTTAATCCAATCTTTTGTTTTTTTTTTTTTTCTTTTTGGTACTTGTGGGGCTTTGGGATGGGCAGGAACTAAGCATAATTTGTTCTTCACTGACTAATCTGGTTAAATAAGGGTTTAAAATAGATTATGTACTGTATGCTGCAACTGTTAACCATTCTTACTGCGGGTGACTGCACATGTCCAAAGCGATCCGGTGCAGCAATACTGTGCTGAAGCAGAGTGTAGTGAGCAGGAAGTCACGAGCAGCAGCTGAAACATATGTTCAAGCAACGATGAGCAGGCTCTTTACCGCTTTTGTTTAAAGGCTCGTGTTACAGTTAATGCTAGTATCATGTATGTGTGTGTGAGTGAGTGTGAGCGTGTATAAAATGGGTGGAGAGCTGTAGACAGAGTATATCTCTGTCTATATACAGTAGTTTATGTGAAGACCGGGAGAAATAGGATCCATCAGACCACAGCGCAGCAGCACAGACTTTTGGTCAATGAAATACACACAATAAAACATATGTACAGTATAATAGAAAATACCTCTACCTCCACCGAGACCACAAAACCGTCCAAACTTGCTATTTCAAGAACAAATATTAATTATCAAAAAAACTATTCAATCTCCATCCTTCCAAATCTACATAAAGACAGATACCATCACTGTCCAAAGCCCACTGTCTTCACAATAAACAACTTTTCAGGAACTAAGTCATGTTCTGTTTTATACTTACTGACAATGACCCCCCCCCAAATACTGGCAATTCAATGTGTTTTAAAGAGCTTTATAATGTATGTTAGCGGTAGAATATCTCAACCCATAAGGGAGCATGTAATACTTTTATTACATACATTTTATCGGCACAAGACAAAGAGTGGACAGCAATGCTAGCTGCTCTGTGAGGATGTACTTAGACAGTCATTTACACAGCGATGCTTTGAAATAAATGTTAAGCTTGCTAACACGCGCACAGTGGCGATGCTAACATGTTTAGGTGAAGCAGGCGTAGTGTTCACCATTGGCACTATCTCAGTATAGCATGTTAGCATAGTGGATTAGCGTCATTAGTTTTGCAGGTATTTGGTCAGTATTTGGTGAATAAATTACTTATTGACTAAATTAAGTGTTAAAACATCCAATAGTTACTAAGGTTTTTCAGTCAGAGCCAAAGTGTTGAACCAACTGACCAAGTGACAACGACAGACAGATGATATACTGACAAATAATGTGACAGAAGTGCCAGGTAAGTGTAACAGTTGTAATGTTTAATAGCGCCATGTTTTGCAATTATAAGATTTCCTTGAAAAAAATCTGCTTCTTGATCCGGATCTGCACCAAAAACAAATAACTTCTTCCTTTTCCCACAATCTAACTTTCAACCAAAATCACTCAAATCTGTTGTCGAGCTTTGAGACACTCTGCTCACTCACATGCACGCAGTCAAACAAACAAAAACTAAATCCACTTTGGCAGAGGAAAAAAGAAAGTACTCTATCAGAGATGTGGGTGTGTGTGTGCACGTGTGTGTGTGTGAAGTCGATGCGTTCACTTGCCACACGCTGTTAACGCTGTGTTGGTATGGTCTGGAGAAGACTCTGGTAATTGACCACATCTAGGAAGTGAGCCAGCACAGATGCCACAGTGAGAAACTCCAACTGACAGCCAAGAGGAGGAAGGGACCCCGAGTTATCCACGACTGGATCAACTGCCATGACAGAAGCTCTGACAGAGACATACTTGATATATTCTGCCTGACAAACACGCTGACAAGCAACTCAGAGATCCTGCTTTTAAATGACATGTAAATGTTTTACAACTTAAGATAGGAGAAGTATCCATCATAAAAAAGAACTTTTATTAATCAACTCGTGATGTATGGAAGGCAGGACTGAGGATGATTAAAATCAATTATTCAATACATAATTAATAATTATGTATTATGTATCTATACTTATTTCCCTACCCCAATTTACTGAAGTTGTTTGTTTATCTTCTTAATTATTCATTTATTAATTATGGCAGATTTTGACTTTTTTTTTTTTTTTTACTTTTTCCTAAATTATTTGTCTGACTGGTCAAAGATGGTGAATCCACATTGAATTTTTAGCTTGTTCATTAAAAAAGAGAACTTGTGTGTATGTTTGAGCAGAATTTCAGTCTTCTGTTAATTAAACAATTAAGAAAAGCTGGTGTATACGAGTCAGTGAATGTAAATGGGAATTAGTTGAGACCTTCAGTAGAGAATAGAAGTAGGTCACTGAAGAAGTCTGCAAATGTCTGAACAATCTTTGCCACAATTAAGCAAAAGGGGCACAGAGTTAGATGTCTCGTTTGAACCACAGTCCTGCCCTGTTTTGATAAGCCGCTTGTTTGCATGTACCTGCGACAGCTTGTAACAAGCTACAAGGAGAGAGTGACAGACTGAGCCTTCACGTGACAGAGTGTCTGCAGGAGCTCCTCATATACAGCAACAGTTCACCCTCTCATGCTGCTGAACACCAGTTGAAAATGTCTGTGCTGATAGACTAGATGCCTTTTTTTTTTTTTTTTTTATTCACCCCCTCCCCCAGAATATCAATTTTTGGATAAACTATGGTGAATGGGAGATTATCATTTCTTTTGTTTTTTTTGCCTCCCTGATCTCACCTCTATAAAATGGTGAAGTGCGCCTGTCTATTGGAGTAAATCCCCTCTATAGCACTGGCTCCAGGAGACTAAATCCCAGGGACTTCTCTCCTGCAGTTCTGTTGTCACTGTGTGCCAGGCTGAGGTTGGGTGACAGTGTGATGGATGGCAGCAGGCAAATCCACTCCTCTAATGAGCTTATGAATAAATATATCTAGTCTGTGTGTGCAGATGCACGTGGCCGTGAAATAGATATTTGTTACATGCTCTGGATGTTGGGGTGTGAATATGAATATGCATGTGGCATGTATGCAAGTGTACATGAGATTAGAGTGTGTGTGCGTGTGTGTGTGTGTGTGTGTGTGTGGGGGGGGGGGCACAGTGAGACTGGTGAGAACAAATAAGCTATAAGACAATGTGAAAATGTAAAAAGATGATCTCTATTCCCAGGATTGTCAGCGTACACACACACACACACACACACACACACACACACACACACACACACACACACACACACACACACACACTTTGGTGAAATGATCAACAAATAAGAAAGCAAGTCAATATTGTGATTTAAATTCACAGGCTGCTGTGCATATGAAAGAGGGAAGCTTCTTTTCAACATGACATTCCCTTCAGACTCAACCTGGGTTTTCAACAAATAAATGACAAGATCTGAATATGAAGTGAAAAGTCCAATATGCAGCGCACAATCTCTCATTCGCTGCAGATAAGCGACTGATAAGCCAGTAAATAGAGACATTTTTCTAGCAATGAAGCATCGTCTGTTCTTTCTCAGTTACATGTGACCTCAGGCACCCACTCAGACAAAGACATAGGTGCCCACACATGCATGCATTAACATACACACACAAACAGAACAATGATGTGGGTGAGGACATACATCGCCCAGCTGTCTGCAACCCAAGCAGAGCATTACAGAAACCGAGCACGCGGCCCTGGTAGCTATGGCAACAAAAGCAGAATACAGGAAAACGAGTCTTGTCCACCTTTTCGGAGGTGTTGGTAACGCAGCGAGAGGGTGATTTCGCCGCCACTAAAAGCCTAAAGGTCCCAACACGTTTACTCAAATGTAATCAAGCGACTTCCACATACTGACGGCTCTGAGCTGCCTCACAGGACCAGCTCTTCCCCCTCGTCCCCTCAATTCAAGGAATTCAGCATTCGAAGACACAAACTGCTGCAACCGAGGCTCTGATCC